CCCCCCCCCCTTCTTTCATATCTTGTCTTTCCATGTTCCAGCAGTAGTAGGGAACAGTCTATGAGAATTTGTGTTCCTTTTCCCTTTGCTTACTCCTGAAGAGACCCATGATGTGACTTGCAGACTGAGCTACCTGAGCCTTGGTCTTGCCGCTTCATCAGCCCTGACATGGCATTGCCACGTGATCTTTTGGCTGCTGGGTTTGCACTTGGGATTGTGCTGCTTTGGGCTGGGGCTCTGTTTGGCAGTAAAGCTCAGTGCAGCCAGGTGAAACTAAAGCCACAACAAGCAGGTTCCCCTTGCACAATGCTTCCTCCGCTGATGAACAAGATGCAGGTGCGAATGGACAGCCTCCTGAGCGGGACCTGCCATCTGGTTTACCTCTGCATGGCAGGAGGCCAAGCCTAAAACTTCTGCAGTTTCTTAAGTGATGGCCACACAAAATAACCTCCTGGAGAAATGAGCTGGCTGAGCACAGGAACATACATCCCCTTGCTCTGAATGTCCTTACTTGTCCTCAGTTGCAGAATATCTTGCACCCATTTGCCGCGGTTCATAACACACCGAGGGCATTGATGTACAGCCAGCCAGGCGCATCACATCAGGGACGCTGTGTTCTGCTTTGGCAAAGTGGCTGTGGTGCTACGCAGGGCAGCACCCGGCCAGGCTTGTGAGGCAGCTCCCTCTCCTTGAGCTGTTCCTGGGGTCCTTTGCAGAGGGCTCTTGCACCCCGCTCCGAGCAACTGCACTACCAGCCTGATGCAGACAAACAGAGCTGGGTCACACAGGAAGCAGCAACACTTCATCAGCAACAATAAAATTTTTCTTGCTGGTGACCTACTTCCCTGTTTTTGAGTTTCCATGCTACCACAGGCCTTGCAGAACAGGTTCCCAGTGGGCAAGGCCAAATCTACAGTCAGTTCTCGGGCTGGTGGCTGACACAACGGCCCACTTCGTAGCTGGTAGAGAGGCACTGATGTGTGCTGCTGACGCTGCTCTCTGCCAGCATGTGCTGGTGGGCTGGCCAGGAGCCAGCAGCTGTGGCTTGCCTCCATGGGACTGACCTTCCATAACAAGGTCCTTTCTCATCTGTTAGCAGCTACCACATCACAACTGAGTTATCCGGACAGACATGATGGCAAGTGCTGCCACAGACACTGCAACTCAGTTTCTGAAAGCTACAGAAGAGTGTTTTTATGGTAGCGCTGAAGACCTTTATGGTGGGATTCATCTCTCCTGACTTTGTCAAAAGCTGATCTTGCTGTCTAGCCTTCTTTCACAGCTGTATCTGGAGTTCATTTCATCTCATACCTAAAGTAAGTATCTAAAATAGACCAGACAACTCCCTTTGGAAATTCTTTTTTCCTCCTCTGACTATAAAGAGAAACTAATTGAGTGGCTCATCTGGAAGTGTCTGCACTCATCCGTGCAGTGCTGCCTTGTAAGTGGATCCTACCATCTGTGTGCAACAATCACAAGAAGTGTCACACCCTCTATAAATAAACTTCTTTTTATTCAACTTTATATTTATTGAAGTGGTGATAGGATTTTTCTGGGTGTTTCATTTTGAGAACTGTGCCTCCTCTCCTGATAGACTGCAGGCATGCAGTTACTTCTCCAGTAGACTTCTGTTCTTCCACCTGGTTGCAAGCTGACAGCAATGACCCACTGCTAATGTCCATATATGTTTTTCCTCAAACTTTCCAGTATTGTCATAGTTAAAAGCAGTCCAAGTGCAGTTTATAATATATGTAAATTTCGAATTATCAGATGAAGCAAAGCCTGATTAATTCTAGTGATATTTTGGTGAATGTTTTTAAGCATTTTAAACATTTTTTAAAAATATAATAGTGAGGGTGTTAAGAACCAAAGTTAACTCTTCTTCACCTAAATAAAAGTATGAGAATGAATCAGTTTATCTGAATAGGTTTGATTGTTCTTCCTGTATTCTGAATTATTTTAAGAGAAAGTTTCAACATGTACATTCTTCCTTGGCTTAAAGCTAAACAATAAGTTAGTATTTAAAGACTAATGCAAGAACATAGTAATTAAAACCATTATAGAAAATAATATTTTCTGTGTTGCTTGTATTCTTACTAAATGGTAGAAATGAATTGTGCTTTGATTTGCTTACTGTATATCTGGTGACAGCATAGAGTCCTGCTGGCAAAATAGAAAAACTGAAACTTTAAATAAAGACCTATAATAAATCAGTAAATATATAATCATTACAGTAAAATTTGTAAAATCCTATCAAGCAAAATCCAATAGCAAGTGTGAATATGCTTATAAGCTTATAAAATGATTGCCTGCAGTTAACTACAAAGTTTCAGGGGAAAGTGAGAACTTGCATATTTATGGACTTAGCAAGTTTATTATTTCTTTTAGCTTTCATGACTAAATAATATATTTCCGTGGATTTCATTGAGTTAATTTAATCTTTAGCAAATCTCTTAATGTATTTTTATACAGGAAAAGATAATTAAGGCTTTTAATATAAACTTTGTCAAAGTTTGTATTTCAGGAGTTTACCTTTTGCTGAGTAAAAAGGGGATGGTGGGACAATGTTCTTTTCTTCCAGGGTTCCTGAAGTTATTTGAGTCATGAAACAGATTTTTGTTTTGTTTGGTTTGTTGTTTTTTTTTTTTTTTTTCTCTATATTTAGAAATCACTAGAATGGTTCTTCTGTAATTCAAGTTTCTGCCAAAGTGAGCACTATGCTGTTACATGCAAGCAGATGACCAAAAACTGTTTCTTGAGACTCTGTTAATAAGTCCTGGAATGATTTCTGGGTTAGAATCTTTCCTTGCACTGGAGAGTCCTGCTCTAGAGAAGACACAGATTAGGTGGATTTGCACACTGTACATGCCCTGTTAGATATGACAACAGATTTTCTACTTGTGGTTGGTTAGGACATGAGAGCTGGGCTAGCTGTAGGTAATGCACTCACTCTTTTTTGACCAATCTGAAGTCAACTTGGAGGGATGTCTGTGTCATCCCACATCTCCTATCGGCACCTGCAGAAACTGCTTGTGGTTGCGTTAAATAATCCTGATTTATAATAAGGAAGGGGTCTGATGGGAGGCTGTGATTTCCTGAGGGCATCCACTCCTCTCTAGGTCACCGTGAGGGTAGCCCTTCTGCACCTGTGCATTGGGGTTGAGGTGCAGAGGGCCCATACCAAAAACTGACAGATGCCACTATGCAATTCATCCCCTATGAGGTTCTAAGTCATCCCTTAGTATCTCTGCTGACCCTCATCAAAGGCACCGAGAAGTGCAAGTTACTAAGGCTGCAGGTAAGATGCTTGAAAAAACTGAGCCTCCTTCTGAGGACTTTTGTACGTGAGCCGAACCACTCCATGGCTGTTGGGTGGATGGTAGGGAGTCCTCTTGGGAGAGGTGCTTACAGCAGCTTTAGTGTTTAGACTTTAGGAAAGAAAAAAGAATGAAGAAAACAAGTTGTTCCTCCCAGGAGAGTCTGGCACCACCAGCATGCTGGCAAGTAGGCTGCCAAAGTAATGACAACACAAGAAACCTGCCTTCTTTTGCAAAGCTTTTGTACCAGTGATTGTGGGAAAGTTTTGCAATCACCATAAGAAGGAAATTCAAGGTTTAAAAAAATGCGGCAGAGTGCTCCACTCCTTGGAGTAGGCAGCACTTTTGCTGTGACGTTGGGCTGGCTTCAAGCCTGAAAGCCCCAGGGCACGGGAAAGAAACAGCCTGACACTGCAGTGACACAAAGTAAGTTCTCTCTCTCTGCCTCTTGCTGTCTTTCCCCTCCCTCTCTTCCTGCTTCTTTGCATTTGTTTGTTTGTTTCTTTGTTTAATTGTTAGATTCTAGTGCACGACAAACTAGGCTTTTTGTACATCTCAGCGTCACTAAGAGATTATGTAAAGTGCAAAGGTAAAATTCTGCAAATTAAATTTCTTTTTTAAAGGTTAAGCATTGTGGACAGTGGTATGTTTTATCCCTCTGTACAAAACCTATTCATTACCATTAATTAATTTTTTTAAATTGCCATAAATTAAATCTTGTATGATTTTTCTTGCATCATTTAATTTTAAATACCACTGGTGTCAATGTTTCACTGGTTTACTAAAGTTCAGATTTTTATAGAGTGGTTATGGAAAATGTTATTTTTTCATTAGGTGTAAGAGAAGTGTTTTTACAGCTTAACACATTCTATAAACTTAAGGTGCATTATTAGGCTGGCAGCATAACATTAAATATTGTGAAAAGAAAACCACGTCACTGATTTAAATACTGTTTATTTAACAGTCGTTTCACAAAGTTAATCATCAGCAAAATACAAATCAATAAGGAATGTATTTGCTTTAGAGAACTCTGTCGTTCAGCTCCCATCCTGTAAAGATTGAGGTGAATCTGAATTCACCATACTTTAATTATCTATAACTTCTTTTTCCAATGTTTTTTGTATTTTTGAGCTGCTGAGGTTGGTCTAAGGAAGGTTAGGTCCCTTTAGAAATTTCATATATGAATCACTGAAATATACATGTGTTTGCTTTTTATAGTCACTTTTGGTGGATCTTACTGGAGTAAGACTTGGAACTAAAAACTACAAAATTTAAATTAGAATGCTTGTTAGACACTAGTGCCTATTCACAATCATTAAGAATAACTTGGGGGGGGCTGTTGAGTTGCTAAGAGAATGTTGTCCTTTCTGGGCATGGGTGGACATTTCTCAGGGAGTCCAGGTTATTTCTGGGCATCTTGCTTGGGAGAACTGAGCTCTCCAGAGGGACAGAGCGAACTTTGTGGGTTAGCCAGGGACCGTGTCACTTACCACTCCTGCTGTCAAAAATCCCTCACGACACTTAAATGGCCTTCACTTATGGGTCAGCTGGCCTCTGGGGCCTGCAGGAGGGGAACTTTGAGAAATTCCAAGAAGAATTAAATAGAGTGGGATATCTAAGATCCCAGTGTCTTGAGGGGGGAACAGTTACAGGCCAATTTCTTGACCTATGTTCCTCTATATTCCTGTAATACATGTGCTAATGTATGGCAGAACTAACTAGTTGATTTCAGTACTACTGCAACATTTTTCCAACAAAGGAAATTGGCAATAGCTCTTTTTGACTTGACATCATTTCAGATCTCTCTGTCTTATCTGGTTTCCCCATATCACCTTAATCTACATCAACTGATGTAGCTAAGATGATTCCTTATATCAGAGCCAATTTTTAAATGGAAAACTTTGGCAGTCTCATTAAAATAGTTACATTTATCATCTTTTGAAAGACAGATAGATGTTGCAACTTGTGGAGACTTGTCAACTTAAAGATAGTAATTATTTGTTTCTTTTAATCAGTGACCCCCTTTCCCCTAATATATCTTTACCTACCTATTTTCTCCTCAGTCATCAGTTTTGGTCTGATTCTACAAACATTTGTCCAATAAATAATGTTACTTATAGGAATGTTGACAGAATGTTTTGGAGTAGTGTTCAATATTTCTTCAAATTCATAAATTACACAGAGAAAATCTTTGTAAGTATAACATAATATCAGGAAGCTACTGCGTCATACCAAAGTCCATTTAGCCCAGAACGGTGATAAAAAGTGTCTATCTACAAGACAATGTAAGAATTGGTTCTAGCATGGTGAAGATATTTCTCTGACATACTCTCCTAGCCTTCAGCTGCCTAAGGACTTTCCTTCTCTACAAAAATTTCTAAAAACTTTAAAAAACTTCAAAAAGTTTTGTCAGCAAGTTGTCTCTAAATTTTCCATCTATCCAAGAATGTCCTGAAGTCTTTTAGAAAGCAAATTTCACAAAGCAGGTGCACCAATCCTTAACTTATTACAATGACACTTTGAACACTCTTTAAAATCCTTCCTGAGAAAAGATGTCCATGTGTAGACATCTCAAGTAGTGTCTCATCATCTAGTATGTCTGAAAAAACATTGGAACCTTTATTCTTATGCAAATAATAGTTAATCACAGTGATATTCTCCAAACAGGAAGACCTACATATCAGATCTGGAGGAGCAAAACCATGGACAGGCCAATCACTACTGGCCAACTTAAAGACAAGTCACTCTTCCAGGACAGTGATGGCACCACAGTTCCTGCCAAGAACATATGCCATAGTTGTTCAAAGCTAAAGGTATGGAGAGGAGCCCTCACCACATATTTTCTCTGGAATGATGAAAATGACAAAATGAAGTGCTGTCAAAATTCAGTTAGTTCTGCATGACACTGTTTGACACTACATGTGTTGAAAACAACACTCTAGGTTGTGATTCCAAGCACATAGAAGTCAATAAATGTGTACAGAAGTTAAAAAGTGAGGCCATATTTTACTAACAAACAATTTAGAGGTGTGCTATAATCATAGTGATAGTCAGCTATATCTTTTTATCCATGTTTTTTTGGAACAGGAGGAGTATTAAGACATGTCACAATAATAAGACCAGTAATGAACAACTTTGTGCTGCAAGTTTTCCCTAAGGAAGGAAAGAACTAAACCAGTATGCGATAGAAATTTAGAAGGTGCACAGAGTCAATGTCAACTTTCTTTTTTGTTGCAGTAGAAGAGGATTTGGAGGCCATCCTGAAAGAGAAAGTAAAATGTTCTGTTTTAATGAAAATAACAGGAAGAATTTCTTCACATAGAAAACAAAACATTTCATTTTTGTGTTTCTTGAATAGGTTGCTCAGGCATCCAGACATGAAGAAAAAATAGTTGCTTTGCAAACTCAACTATTTTCTCTCTTCAGATATTTCTTGGAGCTCTAGCTTTTTCCTTTTTTGCCAAAGGATTTTCTGGAAGCTACATGAAGAGCATGTCCAGTCAAATTGAAAGGAGATTTGAAATCTCATCATCAATTGTTGGCATTATTGATGGCAGCTTTGAGATAGGTATGTGTCCTTTCTTTGAAAGTGGATAAATAATGCTTCTTAATAAATTTTTCCATTAAAAATAATCTCTTTTTGTAATCTCACTGGTTCTTTCTCCTGTTGATGCAGGTAACTTAATGGTAATGGTGTTGGTAAGCTACCTTGGACCAAGAGTTCATCGACCAAAAGTAATTGCTGTTGGATGTCTCATCATGTCCTTAGGAGCATTTTTGTCAGTGATGCCTCAGTTCCTAATGGGACGGTAAATATTGAGAGTTTTCACATTGTGCACTAATTGAACTTGACCACATGAAGTGCTTTTTAATCATACACGTGAGTTAAAAGCTTGATAATAGTAGTTACTTCCAGATAACAGGAAGGTTTCAATAGGTGGAATTTTTAGTACTGAATTTCTGATACCCTCTCTGAAAGCTCATCTCTTTCTGTGGGTAAGTAAGAGAGAAACCTCAGGTTTCTACTGAACTTATATATCTTTAAGGATAAAGTGGGTTGAATTTTTCACCTGGATGGATATATATGGATGTGTGTGTTTTTTTAGCTGTTCTCCTTTTTTCATACTTAAATGAACTGTAATGAGATCTTGATGGAAGAGGTTTCTTTCTCCAGCTATTCATGCTAAGCTCTTTAAAGTTATGAAGATTTTGTATCTATATCTACTGAACTCAGGGAGAGTTAAATATCTAAATAAACCTTCTCATCTAAGCTTTAGTGATTACATAATTGTCAGCAGCAGTTCATACCTCTCCAACCCTTCCGCATCCTTACTGAATAGTAGTTGAAAATAAAAGCCTTCTGTCCCTCAAAAATTAAAATTTATTTGTGCATCTTCTTTAGTTCCAAGACAAATACCTGTTATAAGGATGATATGGAAGGAATTATATCTAGGGACCATGATATGGAAAGTGGCTACAGTCACTACTCATCTTGAGATCCTGTGCTGCAGGGGATAGCAGAGACCAGAAGCAGAGCTATGGAAATCTCTGATTCAACCCAAACTCACAGCCAAGTTCTGAAGATTACCAGTTCATCACAACACTGAGCAAAACCCAGTGGCCATGGGGACCTCACTATCACCCATCACAATATTAAAGGTTGCCACTTGATTGCACAGTTGGTTGGAATATCTGCTCTCCATTTATCCCAATTTAGCCCAAATGTACTCAAGGTGGCTTAAATTTTCTTAGCAGGTTTGCTGAAGCAGCTGGCTGCCTAAATATAGACAAAGTGGCACATGTGTTTTGCAGCCTGTGTTAATCTTTTTATAGGCACAGATAGGTTACTATTAGATCCTTAGCTAGCTGATTTTAATCTAGAACAGAAACGTCTAGTTACACATCTGTCACATAGGCAAGAAACCGGTACCAGTATGGAAAAACATCAGCACTGTTGTCTGTAGGCAGATGTGGATGGACTCTGCCTCTGTCCTTCAGTCTAAAGAATGATCTCTAAATCCCTGGAATCAGCTTTTTTGCTCTTTAGCTTAAGAAAATTTTGGGGTTAGAATGGTCAGAGCATTCTGAAAAAAAGAATGAACTATCTTTTTGGGTTTTTAAGCAAAAGCACTGGAAATGTGTTGCCCCTGTGCTTTTCCTGCATGTAACAGGAATGAACATGTATGAACACAAGGCTCACACACTTCCTGCAAAGCAGAGTCCTTCATGTGTCAGTTATATTTTGAATAGTTGTTTTCCAGTTATAATTATGAAAGGATAACTGTTACTGTGGACAACATCTCTACGAGTGTATCAGCTTGCTCCCCAGCAGCATCTGAAGCCCATCCATTCACAGATGCTACAGAAACACCCAGAGCAATGAAAACTTTAGGTAAGCAAAAGCTCTGATGCTGGGTTTCCTTCTTCTGCTTGTTCCTGTTTTATACACCCTCTTCTACTGGAAAGCAGTAAAACCCCTATTAGAAACCATGATATGTACAAACTCACCTGATAATGATTGTGAAAAAACGTATTTTATGTTATTTTTCTGTTGCAATAAAGTATTGTCAGAATTATGTTCAAGGAAATGTAAATGTTTATGGCCCACAGGATGTGAGAAAACAACAAATTCCTATCTGTGGCTCTTTGTGTTGATGGGGAACCTTTTACGTGGAATTGGGGAAGCACCAGTTATGCCACTGGGGGTTTCATATATTGATGATTTTTCTAAAGAAGAAAACTCAGCATTTTACATAGGTAATATGCAAATAAGTGATTTTTATGCTAACTGTTATTTAACATTTCTGTAGCCAGGCAAATACTCACCAAAAAAAAAAAAAAAAAAAATCTGTCTGCTCTATTCTGGATAATTTTGAGTTGTACAGAGACAAAAAACCAATGCAGAAGAGATCTCATGTTTATTTTCAAAGGATATTTCCCAGATGTTCCTTTTGCTTTCCCCAAGTGACCTCTGCTACATGTGCCAGTTTTTTCTTTGATGAAGAGAAGTGTGATCAAATACTTGTTACTCCAGTGAGAAGTCATATCTATCTTATCTGGCATTTCATCTTCAGTATCACAGTTTCAGAGGATAAAATTCCTCCTAGTTAAGAGAATGACCCTTAATGTAAGGATCAGTAATGTAATCACAATAATGTAAATGTGTTTCAGAAGCTTTTACCTGAATTTTACCTGTCTTTTTGAATTTTACATGCAGCACACTTTCATTTAAGCTTTTTAGTCACTAGTTACAGAAGGAAAACCCACAGCCTTGTCAGGGTGTTGTAATAAATCCCTTCTAACTGGGATTTTGTTGTTTTGATGGAAGATAGCCTATTGCCCAAGACAGAAGGACTTACACCCAAGCTAATTAGTTTATTGACAAACATTTAATAGCATGGAATGTTTGTGTGGCTGAGGGAGGTCAAAATTGCTGCCTGATGTACACTTGGTGAAGTTGAACTGGTCATAAAGATAGTAAGACAGTTTCAGGAAGAGTTCAGTGCGTAATGCTACAAGGTAAAGCTCTTGCAGATGTTTTCATTTGGGGATGAGGAATTTTGCAGGTTGAAGGAAACAGAAGTATTGTGAAAGGAGCTGACAAAAACAAAAGTTCCACTCAGCAGTTATCCAAAATATTTGTAATCACCTCTGAGCCTCTGATTAAAGGTATTTTAAAAAGTTCAGCTGAATTTTTTTCTTGTCAGAATCTGATGTGGGAGAAATTGCGAGAAGTTGGGGACTATTGGGGAAATAAGATTAAAAATATAAAATAGACACAGAGAATGGTATGGATTCAATCAAAATGCAAATTTTGGGGGGTCTTTTTATCAGTTGACTGAATCAATTTATGATCAATGTTTTTGTAAAAAAAAAAAAAAAAAAAAGTCCTAGAATAAAAAGGTCAGTTAAACCTTGCTGATGAATATTTACCTTGTTACTTAACCGTTAACAAGATCATGTTACTTAACCATTAACAAGAAGTTTCACTTTCCTGCCTCTCCTTTTTCTCCTGCCCTTAGACATTTTGTTGTGTAAGAACATAAATTATTTTGTGACAGAGACAGCTTTTTATTAAATGGCAATAGAATGCATTAAAATCTTTTTGGCAGAGTTATAGTGCAAATGATAATTGACAGTAATAAAACCTGAGTTACCATAGGAAGGAACAGCAAAGGGAAAATTTGCATTTTTGTTAAGCTGTCTTACACAATTTAGTAGAGGGTGGTAGCTTTTCTGTAGAACTCTGTGAGAGAGGAAATTGATGATTTTTTTTTTTTTTCCAGGAAATTCTATAGTTTTTAGACTGAGTTTTACAGAGCCTTTGTAATTTATATAGTTCTACCAGGCTATTGACATGGTCCTGAGGTGGTACAATGCACTATACACCATATACAGTCCTAAAAAGCTCTTCTGCATATGGTCACTGCTCACTACTTACAGTCCTAAGGTATAATGATCTGGCCCTCTGTGTCTATATGCAATTGGTATTTGTCAAGAGACAGGAATATCAGGATCTCGGTGGTTTGCTTTGTTCTGAGAGGGGATTTTGGTGGAGTGACCTTTGGGGCCAGCTGCTCTGACTGAGATTATTTCATAAATACTCGCCCACACTAAGTGCCTAATTTATTTCGGTATTTTACGGTCTTCAGATGTTTCACTTCTGTTTAGGTGCATATAGAAAAGTTTCAAACATACATGTGAGTATTTCACCTATACTAATAAGCTTTCAATAGCCCATTTTAAAAATGAATTCCTTATTTTATTTGGAACTGAATGTGGACATGGTTAGTTAATGGAGTAGTCATTAGACTTATCATGTAAGAGGAATAATAGGAGAATTAAAGACATTCAGTGAGGAGTACTTCACTTCCATGGATTTCTCACCAAAGCAGAGGCTTTGAATGAATGAAATTTCATCACTGTGTTGAGTATTAGCAAATAAGCTTGTGTCTGTTGAATCTATGGCTTCAATAGAAACATATCTGAGGCCAACTTATGTTGTAAACTTTGATACCTGTTACATGCTACATTACTCATGAATACAAGGGCTTGGCTGAGCTGTATAAATATGCAGAAGCTGATTAACTGATAAGTCTGCATGATTTATTGTTTGTGGTGTAGTCTGTTTACTAATTACAAAGAATAAATATTACAAAGGAAAAATATGCTAGGAAAATATCACAGTGAACTTATTTGGTTTTGTTTTACCACAATACAAGCATATTATCCTAGTGAAGTTATTGAATTTAAAGGGTATGCAAGTGTGAAATTTAATTTTAAAAGTATACATATGCAAAATTATTGCACATATGCTTCTCAGCTTATCTGATAGCTTATGGTATCTTAAAGAAATATACTACATACAATATACAAGGCCATTGGAATGTGTGTGCTGTTTTTTATCCCTCTATTTGAGAAAGTTGCCACTGAGAATTTTAACTTTGGAAATGAGCTTGCATGGTTCTGAATAGTAAATTCTGCTTTAGAATTACTAAAGAGCTAACTCCTGGCTTCTACTGTCCAAATCCTGACTCTGCAGAAGTCAGTCATTTTGGAAGCATCAGAATTTAATCTAAAAGGCCAGGTCTTTTTTTTAAGGAATATGAGACAACTAAATGAAAGCAATATGCAATTGGATCAATGAAGCAAATTGTTAAATTGTGCTGTAAGAATTTATCATAAGGTGAGAAGAAGATCATAAGATGAGCAATCACTATATTTAGAAGAGAATTTGCAAAACAAACAGGATAAAAATGTCTGCAGTTGAACAACACAGTAGGATTTACAGAGCATAATACTGAATGTGGGCACTTGGTTAAGAATTCCTTTTTTTTGCTATTAGAATTAAGCCTTCTGAAACCTCAAACAGCTCCCAGGTGGCAGTTCCATGCTAGAATTCAGAAATCTGAATCACTGAACTTTTTTTTTTTTTTTAACTGTTACCTCCCCACAACTAAACTTGAGAGATCAACAAAAGTGTCAAGGGAATGTGAGGAATTATGCTTGAATTATTTTTTGAATATTTTTATTTTATGTTGATTACCAGCAGTGGTCATCAAAATCAATTGTGCTGTATTTACATACCCAATCATCAAAATGCAGTCCTAGCTTGCTAGGTTTTTGCTAGCCTTCACAGCTTATTATTATAATTTGCTCCTAGGGGCATCCCACTTCTGATCCCATGTTATCTCCTTTGTAATCAGAGACAGACAGAGGGGGAAATGGAAGCCCTGGTGATGCCAGTAGCAAAACTGAAAGCTACTTTTAAAGAAGTCATTACTTGATCACTAGATTTCCTGACTTTTTTTTTTTTTTTTTTTTTTTTTTTTTTTTTTTTTTTTTACAGCTGCATGAGTACATATTAACGTAACAGCTGATTTGCTCATTCTGGTGCTGAATCAACGCAGATACTATCTAACGAACTTTGATCACATACAGGGACACTTATATCTCCTTGTTGCCTACTGAAAATATTCTCAGGGTCTCTTATCTAATTCCATGTCCACGTACTTTTATTATCCCTGCCATCCTAATGTGACTCCAAACTGCAAAGATGTATCTTCTTATATGCATATCATCAAATCAACTACTGCTACTTAAAATTAAAATAGGGATCTGAACACACAGTACAGGGAAAATTCCTGACTTCTGCAATCACAGAACGTCATGGAAGTTGTAAATAGAGTTGCAAGTAGAGTTATGATGCCTCCACTGGGCCTAGAGTTTTATGTTCATTTTTAAATGCCACAGGCTGAACAATGCAACTACAAGAATTCAAGGAGGGAATTAGGGAGGGAGAGGTATAAAAATAATTGCAATATTATTCTCTTTCTTCCTATTCCTTCCAAGACACCAATCTTGTCGATGAAATGAATGCGGGACTCCACCTGAGACTGTGCTTGCTTCAACAAAGCCTTGTGCGGGTGAAAGAGCCTGCTTCCACATCACAGCTAGCACATTGGCAGCTTACAGCTTATTTTCTTGCTGCTCAGAGGCTTCCCACTAGACATCCTCTAACAGCCTGTGTCCCTCTTCTGTCTCCTCCTCCCTCTCTCCTTTGCTTGCCCTCAGAGAAGAAGGCATGCTTGTCTGCACAGCATTTTGCTCACTCTTCTCTGCTGGTTCCCTTCTCTTACAGGCCTTGTGAGATCCTCGGGAATGTTTGGGCCAACCCTGGGCTTCCTGCTTGGATCTTTCTGTGCCAGTGTCTGGGTTGACATTGGTCTTGTGGATATTGGTAAGAGACTGTGGAGTGGTACATTAACTGAGAAGATGGCTGTGTATAGGAACCTGCATACCAACAGGCATTTTCTCAGTTTGCTACTCACAAAAGGAGGCTCTCTAGAGAGTTTTTCCTCCTCAAAAGCTGGTGTTACTTACATTTTAATATCTGCAGTGTTGTAGTGTGACTGAAATATCCCTTGATGGAAGACCCCTGTCCCCACTGCAGAAAAATTTTGCACCTCTTTTTATGCTTGTGCACACACTTGTTATGCCTTGCTGAGAACAAATGAGCAAATGAAAGGCTATCCCCATGTTAAGGGAAAAGTAAAAGGCTCATGGACACTTTTAACACTTGGGAAAAATTATGTTATTTTAAAAGCATGCAGTAAAGATTCATATGAAAACTCATTTCATTGTTCAAATCACTTTCAAGTCTCTAATCCCAGGGAAAGTTTTAGAAAATTCAAGGAAAAACTATTGAGTTTGGGGATAGAAAAAGGAGCAGACAGTAGAAAATTGAGAAAGTTCTTTTTGGATGGTGAAGGGCCCTTTTCTGTCACTCATTACAACAGAAAATGCTGGAAGATTGTGACAAGAAAATGCCACCATGGGTCTAAATGGAGACATCTATTTTTGACTACATGGGATGGATTTGATACAAGCTGCATTTCAGTTCTTTGTATGAACCACCTCTGTTGTGGTCTTTAAATAATATATATAAGGATACCTATAGTAAGTTTAATTGTTTTGCATGTTATTTAATCTATTTTCCTGTTTTTCTGTATTTTATAGATGCTATCAGCATAAATCCTAAGGATACTCGTTGGGTTGGTGCCTGGTGGCTTGGACTGCTTATCTGTGGAGCAGTCAACTTCATTGCTTCATTGCCTTTCTGGTTTTTGCCTTACTCCTTACCCAAAGAAGGAGAGAATGAAAACCTGAAGATTAGTCATTTGCCTGTTCAAGATGACTGTAAAGTAGACCCCCCAGCTCAGCCACAGTTAATGTTCTCAGAGGCAGTAAAAGGTGAAAGATTATTTCCCAAATGTTTGCATGTGAATTCTCTCTCATGGGTTTGTTCTGAGCTGTGCATAGATTTGCACAACCCTCAGCAAAATGCACATTTCTGCAGTGCAAATTATGGACAAAAATGGTCTCTTTAATTTGCAGTATTATAATTACATGTTGAAAATGTGTTTCAGTCATCTCCTTATGTCAGACAGCTGGAAAAATCTCATGCTTTGAGCAACAGAGATTCTCAGTTCAACACTGTAGCTGGCATATGACGTATTACAGCTATAATACTACGAATATGAAGGAAGAGGGGGGACAACATCCCACTCCTCATTAATGACCAATCCACAGGTAGCAGATTACTGTTTCACTGAGACCAACATATGGGATTGAAACATGGGGCTAAATACTACATTAGCTGTTGGAAGGATTTCACTGGATTCACAGCTCCTTTGTATGAGCTCAGTGATGCTATATTAACCTCATATAGGTAATATCAGACCCATTTCTGGACTCCCCCAAGGGTTTTGTTTGTATCTATGTATGCATGTGCACCCCTTAGTGGCTATGGAAAATGTATTTTGAACTCTCATCTTTCAGGCAAGTCTGCCAACAGCCAGATTACAGGCTAAATGCAGGCTTTTGTCTTCACTTTAATTTTATGGATTTAGATACTGTAATCAAGGGTCTCAGGAAAGGTTCCAGTCTTTTGCTTGGTCAGGTGCTTCCTTTCTGTGAATATCAGCCTCGTGTGGTGCTCTTGTGTGGTTTGTGAAGGCTCCTGCTTTAGGCACCAAACTTTTCACTTGGTGCATTATAGAGTCTTGATGCTCCTCTAAGGACACTCTCCTGTACAGTCATTGAGAGTCAGGTTGCAAGCCTTAGTGCCTTTGATGAAAACACCTGTGTCACACACAAGAACATATGAGATTTTGAATTTCCAGTTCAGCATCCACTGTGCCATTCACCCTTGCTGTTCCTGTAAGTCATGTGTTGGCAATGAGGAAAACTCTCACTTGAGCAAGCATGTTTTGATAGGCAAAGAATTATAACCTGCAATACAGCCAGTAATTAAATCAGTGTTAGTTTTATCGTCTAAATGATGTCAAAACAACTCTCCTCTGTGTTTAGCAGGGTGTACAGCATATACTTCTCCATTACAGATTTCTTCCCAGCTCTCAAGAAGCTGTTTGGAAATCCAGTTTTCCTGGTGTACATCTTCCTCACAATTCTGCAGTACAATTCTCTTGTTGGGTTGATAACCTATGAGACAAAGTTTATGGAGCAGCAATTTAATGTATCAGTGGCAAGAGCCATCTTTCTAATTGGTAGGTACCTGTCCTTTTAAATTCTAGTGTCAAAGAGGAAGCTTTTCTTTGTTATTTTGCCTTATTTTTAGGAGGAGCTTCTGTGAACTTTTTTGGTTGAAAAAAGGATGTAGGAGTTTATTAATTTTCCTACTGTACTTTGAAAATGGATGTTAATTTTAGTGTTATTTTTCCTGGTGTTCCTAATTTAGTGAGCTAGACAATTATAAGAACTGTGTGGAATTTCTTTTTTTTTTTTTTTTTTTTTTTTTTTTTTTTTTTTCAGAGTAAGATTTAGGTTATGTATGTGTCATTTTGTGAAACATAAACCACACATAAACTGCAAGTAACAACCAGAAGAAAAAAAACATTTAATTTAGAAAATGTCTAATGCAATGTGTGATTTTCCTTTTCAGAATAACATCTCAGTATAAATGTTCTTCCACTTTGAATTACAAATACAAATTTTATAAGCAATAAGAAACCAAAATGTTAAATTTTAAGTAATTTCATTCAGATCAAACCTCTTTTTCTGTTTGTCATTTCTCTCAAAAATAAGTTCTTTATAGAGTTCTACAAAAAAAAGAATGCTAAAATTACATTAATCTCACAGTGATTAATATGTTCTCATAACCTGGCAAGAGAACCAGGGTATTTGAGGTCATTGCAGAACTGATATTCCATTACTCTAACCTGAAGGCACCCTGCTTTGCTGCAGGTCAGGTACAAATAGGGGAAGAACTTTCTTTTTCCTGTCTTTTTTTGGATGCAGGGAAAGACTCACAAAACAAGATGGCCAGAAAATCCAACTAAACAAAAAAACACACACAGAAATGCAAACCCAAATAAAACCTTGTAAAAGCTCTCTATTTACCATGTAAATATTGGGGCTGAAGTTTGTGAAATGCTGAACAGATTCAATCTAAACACTATATTTCCATGATTCACTCTCAGAGAAAAATGGGATCCAATGCAAAACCAGGTGCTGTTTCCTTTCATGTTACATTTTAGAGATTTTTTTTTTGTAGCTTTCAGTAAATTTAATGTCTTATTTTAGATGAAAAAGTGCCTGTGAGCTGACATTTATCTCATTTAACCCAGTTTCTGATGGGCACTTGTATAGGTTTCATTATACGATTATACATACAAACAACAGTATAATAAAAAGGTAGGAAATATTAAGGAACTAAGTTTTTTAAAGTCATAACATGACTTGAAAGAAAATGAGAAAGTAAGCCAAATTACTTAAAGGTAATAAAAAGTCTTAGAATCCAAGGATCAGTCCAAAAATAGGTCAATATCTGATATTTTGGAAACTACTAAAACCAGATATTTATTCTAAAAAGGGTCAGTGCAAGTGACAGCAGTTAAAATTTTTATACCTTGTATTTGCAGGTGTGATACTTTTACCCATCACGATCCTGGGGATGTTTCTAGGAGGCTTTCTGATCAAGAAATTCAAGCTTCACATAACTGAAATGACAAAGTTTGCATGCATCACCTTTATAGTAGCATATTTTTTAAACCTCTTGTACTTTACATGCAGTTGTGAGGTGCTCCAGGTGGCTGGTTTGACTGCCCCCTACTCTGGGTTTGTATCTTCTGGGTTTATGTTGGTTGTGTCATTTGTCACCGTTGCTTCCTGTCCTGAGCAGAACATTGTGCGTGCACCTCTATTCCTCTACTCTCAAACTAATCTGGTTTGTAACCTCATCTGGGCTACAAACCTTCTACTCTAGAAAACATTTTGATTTGAATTTGGATGAGTTCTGAAATGTGTTGATTTACTGTAGCGTATTCCTATATACTTTTGCATGTGTCTGTCTAAGGACAACAAATTTTTGTTGAAATTGACCTGTATTAGGTCATCTGCTAGTGTCAATCAGTGTGGTTTCGGCTAGAGTGGAGCTACTGTGATTCTATCATTTTAACTCTCCCTTGGCAGTGAGACACACAAGAAAATCCTAGGGTTTTTTTTTCAGGCTGAAATAATACCTAGTGTTGGGGATGGGCAGAATATCCCAATTTTGTTTTTCAAATTTAATTTGAATTGGATGTTTCTTTTTCTAAATTGTTTCTTCCTGGACATTGACAATATACCTTTGTATTCTGGAAAATTACTAATTATGATTAAATTTATCACAGGTAAGTTAAATTTTCTATTTCAAAGCTTTAATTTAAAGCCAGTCTCCTCCTACCATGTAGGAACTGGTATGTAAAAAAAGTGTTGAAAGTGTCTTCCCCATAGTGCCCCATCCTCTAGATCAGTAGTTATCAACTTGCATAGGGAGTTACCAGCCTCCCTTGGTACCTGGAGCTGCTGACCTGCCTGCATCTGATTTTTCAGCTGGGAGATAGAAAGTGGTTGTGTCAGGAGCACGTGCTGCCCAAACAGATGTTCCTCCCCTCCCTTCCCAGGACCACAGCCATGCTTTCTTGAGAACATTTTGATGACTAGCAGCCTACCACAATTGCCTACTGTTTAAATTAAGCTCAGTCTGGTCCAACACATTTCAAGGGATTTTAAAGGATTAAACTGAATGCGTCAGGGCTTGCTAGATTTTCAATTCAAACAGAAACTCAGTCCTGTGTTTCTTGAAACTGAGCCTATGTTCAGGGAAATATCCAGGTTGTCTTGGCAAATCTAACACCCAGTTCAACTTAGAGATTAGTTGCAAAAAAGATGTCAGAGGTTTGTGCAATGGAGATAACTCTGGTTGAGTGCAACATCTGATACCGTAAAGTGAATTAAAAATAAGCAGAAAGTTCAAGACAGCAAATACTAGAAGACCAATTGCAGTTTCTCCAAGAGAACTGAGACTGGAGAATTTATCATGTGGTAGAGTTGTTCTGGTTAAGTGACTCACATATGGTTTTACCCATTTAACAATTTGTAGTTTGAAGATGAGCAACAGCCTAATGAGGGCTAAAGTCCCCAGTTATTTTCTCTTCTAAAAGACTTAAGGGAAATGTGGCCTCCTTGAGGTGTGTTCTGGATTGAGGGGTGAGGAGAAAGAAAAGACAAATTTTGAATACTTTTTCCTTTATATTTTGAGTGCCTTCAATGCAGGCATGATTTGTAGATGGTGGACTCCTGACACTGTCTGAATATTGACCCCTGCTACCATGCCCTCAGAGTCACTGGCCACTTTTAAAATTCTCAATTCTAGTTGTCATCTGCTTAGTTTAACTCCTTGGTGGTTTATTTTGATGGTTCTTACAGAAATGTTAGTAAAAATGGAAGCTATGAAAGTCCATGATAACATAAAACAAGAAAAGAGATCTGATAAGAAATGGAGGTCAAGTCTGTCCCAGGTTCAGGGCTGCTGCTGCTGAATACGGTCTGAGCTGAGATGGAAGGTTCACTTCTCACTCAGACTCATGCAACTTTCATTGCTGCTAACTGGCTCTGGTCCAGTGAAAAAGTGTCAAGGACTTCTTGCTGCTGTAGTTTTATGTAGTTTTATATCACCACCTCTAACACCCAGATATAGCATGATCTCTACTGCTAGAGAAAAACATGGCCAGCCTACAGGTGATAAAGAGTTTTTAAGTATGATTTCCCTTTTCTTAGGTTGAGCTTTCAAATGAAAATTAATACCAAATATTCCCTCCCGGCCAAGAATACCTAGTTTATGAGTTCCACGCCTTTTCAGCAACAATCCATAAAAATGTTAATGCTTGATGAATAAAATTTGAGAGCTTTGGTTTAGCTGAAATTAGCTTAGTCTCCATATGACAACTTCACAGTCCATTGGATGGTAGCAGATACCTGTCTATGTTGATTGCTTCACTTTCTCCACATTTTTCCTGCCTACTCTGTGATATTTTGTTTGACTATATGATTTGACTAAATAATTCTTTATTTCTTTTCTTTTTTCTCCAGATTAAAACATCTTTCCAAAAACAGCTTCATGGCCAGTTGCAATGCTGACTGCAGCTGCAAGCTGGATCAGTGGGACCCTGTATGTGGGGATAATGGGATCACATACATGACAGCCTGCTTTGCAGGATGTAAATCATCAACTGGCACAGGAAAGAATATGGTAAATACATAGGTTGATAAAAGATTATTTTGTAAGACCTGTTGCAATAGGACAAGGGGAAATGCTTTTAAACTAAAAGAGCATATATTTAGACTAGCTATAAGGAAGACATATTTTATGAATGTGGTGAAACACTGAAGCAGGTTGCCCTGAGAGGCGGTAGATGCCCCATCCCTGGAAGTGTTCAAAGCCAGGTTGGATGGGTCTCTGAGAAACCTGATCTAGTTGAAGATGTCTGTGCTTGTTGCAGGGGGGTTGGACTAGGTGACCTTTAAAAGTCCCTTCCAATCCAAAATATTCTATGATTTTATGATTATGGATATAGCTCAATTTCTTCATCTGTTAATTTTCTGACTTTGTGATTAAGAAATCCAGTAGACACAAATGTTGATTCTGTACAGTTTAAATTTGTAGAAACTGAATGAGTGCGCAGTTGCAGGGAGGGTTTTAAAAAGAGTTGGGGTGAGGTAAGGAAAGACATGAGAACCTCAGACTCTTAACTTACATTTCTTCAATGCTTTTATTTCAATTTTTAAAAATTTATTTTCCTCTTAGAAAGATGACCATAAATTTGGCTACAAGTTTCTCAGCAGATCTCCTGCTGTCTAAGTACAATACAGCAAAGAGAGGTTTGCTTTAGAAGACTTTACTAGTCTGGTTGTTATACTAACAAATCCTATGGTGTCAACTCATGTGCAGCAGACATGCATAAAATTGTGAGTGTGGGTTTCACAAACTGTTACAGATCATACTGGAATTGCCTACTTTCCTGAGCTGCTGTAGGTCCCATAAATATACATCTGGTCATTTTGTTCAGTGTCTCAGCAGCAAAGCCTTTTCCAGGACTTCAAATAATCCTACCTGTGCAAGATCATTAAAACCAGTAGGTTTGCACAAGTGTGTGCAAATTGTCATGTCTTCTGGCAGAAGCAGAATTGTCTTCCTGTAACAATAGTGAAAAAGACAAGCAGTGTTTTCAGGCTTACATCCATATAACCCAGCAATATTCTCTTGCTTCACTTCATGGAAATTGGCTTTCAAACCCATGTCTCCTGCTAACTTCAAAGGCTATGAAACAGCCTATTCTCAATTCAGTGACAAATGCTGTTTTGGATACATAACAATAGATATGCATGATTGCGTTTTTGAGTTCACATTATATTTTTATTGTTACTCATCTGCTTCATAGAATTCCTGAGCAGAATGGCTGTAAAACAGTTCACATTATATTTTTATTGTTACTCATCTGCTTCATAGGATTCCTGAGCAGAATGGCTGGAAAACAGTTCACATCTGAATTTTATAGCTTTGACCCATTTTAAGCATACACAGAGCACCTTCTGTCCTAGCAATGGCATGACTGAAACTAGAGTCACAGTTGCTTTGTGTCTGTGGGGCAGCTCAGAGTGACTGGAGCATACCAATGAACTTGGCCATCCGTCTGCAAAGATGATTAGGGAGGTTCTTTTAGCATAAACAACAGCCTGCCTGTTACGGGGAGTGAAAAACCTAGCTATTAAAGTAGTTTTGTGCCATTGAATTCTGATAAATAAATTATTTTCATCTTCTCCTTTCAGGTGTTTCGCAATTGCAGCTGTGTGGAAGGACAAGGGCATGGGCTTGGCAATTCCTCTGCAGTCTTGGGACAATGCCAAAGAGAAAGCTGTACCAAAGCATTTCCCTATTTTTTAGCATTACAGACTACATGTGCATTTATTTTAGCCTTAGGAGGCACTCCTACATACATGATTATGTTTAGGTGAAGTACTTTACCTTACATTGACCATAAAGCTTGGGGAAAGGAAACAGAATATGGCATCAACTATTTCATTCCTACTGTGAGGGATGGCATGCTAATGAAATTGGGGCCCTGAGTCTTTGCCTGTATTCTGAAATCCATTTTTGTTCAGAGGCACAGCAAAATTCCTGTCTACCAATCTAATTCCAATTTAAGGCTGAGTAGATACTTTGGTGATGAAATAGGTGGGCCATATGCTGATCCTGAACATTAGTTTTCTCTTCAATGACAGGGATGGTTTTAACAAAACAATGAATTTGAAATAAGATACGGTGCTAAGCCACATCCAAGGTGACTATGCTGTTCACATTACTCAGAAAAAAAGACATTCACCTTTGTTAAGCATTGTTGCCTCAGAATGTTTTCTGTGTGGTGAGAAGTCTGATTCTCCCATTTTCTGTCAAGCTGTTAGAAACAGTACTACGTCAGCAGCAATATTTAAAATTTTTATTCATCTGGTTGTAAAACAGCAGTGCTGTTTTACACTCATAAGAAAAGACAATGTTCTGTGCCTTTCACATGGAAGTTTCTCTCCACTCATGCTCGTGGGTGAATTGCAATCTTCAGTAAACAGTGCACATGACTGGATAACTGTCGGCTAGGCTGCTGGTTCTGCAATATTTCTAAGTGCAGCCATTCTTACTGCATGCCTGGATTATGGACAAGGCTAACTTTGCTGGGCAGTTTTCAGAACACTAATGTGTATAATGAGAAGCCTTTCATGTTAGTGCTGAAAAGACAATATACTGATGTATAAGCTTCAGCTCAGGGAATAGGCTGGCATAGCAAGTCTCCCTCCTGCCCTGTTCCAGCTCAGTAGTCCCTTCTGCTTATTTTGTCAATTCTTCCAGTTAATCCAATGGACACAGGCTGTTTCTCCACCGATAGGAATGAGATGCTTTTGTAGCCAGGTAACTCACATTCGCTGTCTCTCTGTAAAATGCTGGAGGCGGAGGTGGGTTTTACCTTCATGTAGCTAGCAAGGACTGCACACCCTTGTTTCCTCTGTTCGCTATTGCACAGTACAGCCCTTCCTAAAGCAAGGCAGCTTCTTGAAGGTAATTTATGGATAAGAACTGGTTACTTTTAGTTGGTTCACTTTTAAGTTTTCCTGTGCATCCTCTCCCAAAAGTGTTTACAATCTGTTCTCCTTGGGTTCAAGATCAATTTCTGTAGATTCTCCCATTTATTTCAATGTGAGTTCATCCACTGAAGTCAGTGGAAGGAGGGTCTACATCTGAACTTGAACTCTGGTGAATGTTTTCAGTTAGGGTTTGAGTGAGCACAATAGGTAATTAGGTAAGCCACTTGCAATGAGGTACATGCAGATGTTCACAGGATGGCTATAGCTACATTATTCTACTGTTCCCCAAAACAATGTACTATTTTTGTTTCCTTTTTAGATCCGTTTCACCAGACCTGAAATCCTTTGCTGTTGGGATTGAAACTTTAGGTGGTAGAGTACTAGGTAAAGCTTCACTTCTTTGTGGGATTCAAATAGGTAGTCAAAGACATAGACCAAATTTAGCCAGTGCAGTGCCCTTGCTCCAGATGAGAACAAAATACAGTTTCCAGAAATTTTCTTTGTAAGGAGACTGTACATTTCAAAATGTTTGGAGGAGCTTGCTACATGTTTCCTGGTATGTAATTACATATTATGATTATCTCTTCAGAATTTTTTCTATGTGGCAAAGGAACAAAAATAGCTTTGTATTTTTTATTTTTTTTTTAAATTTGAGGTCACAACTACCTGAGCTTGAAATCCTTAACACCTATGCTCCCTTTTGCTGGCCATTTTTAACTTAGAACTACCATGTACTCTGCCTATTATTTTAATTCAAGTCTTCGGACATGTAGTATGCCCTGCCTCTAGCAAACCTTGCCTTACCTTCATTTGTTTGCTGATTTTTTGAAATCTTCCCCATGCAGACAAGCCCAAGCAGTCATTTGTCTCTCTCTCCTAATCTCCATATTTTATCTGAATGCTGCAGAGAATCAGTGTTGTGCTTTTATGAAAGTTTTCTTCACTAAACTGCACATTATCCCTGAAACAGCTTATTGATTATATTAAATCCTTATGACTGTCTATAAAAGGAATTCTGTCAGTACTACATAAGTAATACGCTTATTACCTAGTTGGTTTTGAGCAAGTGCTTAATTTCAGCCCTTTGCTAACTATTTTTAACGGCAAACTGTTGTGTGATACCTGAATAGATACATTGGTATACATAAATATTAATATCTCGTGGCACATAATTCCACACCAGGGACTGAAAAAGAAATATTGATTATATTATTTCTTTAAACAACAGAAATTATAATTCTAATAAAAATGCCATTGAAGTAGAATTAGTAACATCTCCCTCACTGAATATAATAATGCTAAAATCTTCCGTCCTTTCAACTCTCTTTAGGTTAAATATTTTTACAAATCTTGGAATCTCAAAGCTGGAGCTGGATGTTTAGTGCCTTTTTATGCAGCCATAATTCAGAAATCCAGAGATTCATTTCCTCATTTCTTTACCATGATATTAAATGCTGAGATCTTCATGTCTGAGATGATGTAATAAGAATTTTCTTTGTAGGAGGACTACCAGCCCCTATTTATTTTGGTGCCTTGATAGATGAGACCTGCTTGAAATGGGGGACAAAAAACTGTGGGGGATCTGGATCTTGCCGGGTATACGACACAAAAGCATTCAGGTAAGCTGAAATCTTCAGCAAGGGGTTGGGAATTTGGCTTCTGAGGCATCTTTGGGCACCAAGGACCATGCTATGCTTTGCCCATGACAATTGTCAATAGACTGATGAGGATATTAAAAGTACCAAAACTCCTTATTTTGTCTAGGTCTTAATAGACCAAATAAGCCAAATAATTTTGATTCAATCTGCAATATGATATTGTAGTACATTGCCTTACATCACCAGAGTTAGTTCCTTTATTGAAGCCTTAGTGCACTGAATAACTCTGCGACACTTTGGCTTTGTAGGAGACTGAAATACTGTGGAGTAAGTGTAACACTGAAGACGCTATTCCTCATCCCGCATTTCTCTACTTCCTAATGTATAAGACTCGTCCCAAAATCCACTTGGAGAGGAGACCTAAATGACTGGTGGTGCATGGAGAGCTTCAGCCAGCAGCACTGAGTGCTGCCCATGAGGGGCTGGGGGAAGGCTGGCACAGCTGGCAAAAAGCCCCAGTTTGATGCAGCTGCTCCCATCCCAGACCTAAAATGTTGACTGCTGAATGGGAGCACTCAGACAGGAGGCATTTCTGTTGGGAGTGCAGGACCTGATTAGAACCTGCCTGGGGCTACATATAATGAGATTACTTTCTGTCTGTTATTTGTCAAAATGTGGAGAAACACCTGGCTGAGAATATATGGTTTTGCCAAAACGTATTTGATATCTTACTTGGTTCCACTCAGAATTGACAAGCTTTATTAATATAATCATATTTTGTCACTTTTTTTTTTTTTTTTTTTTTTTTTTTTTTCCTAGAAATGTCTATCTTGGCCTCATTGCAGGACTACGAGCAGGATGCTGTCTCTTATACATAGTGCTCTCTGTTTTAATAATGAAACGCTTCAAACCAGATGGCAAAGAGATGACAGATATTCAAAATACAAAAAGATCAGCCATCAAAGAATTGGCTACTGCCAACAAAAATGAAATTCTTCCTGGTGCAAGAACCTCAGAGGAGAGTGAGGAAACTTGTATGTAAAAAAACCCAAGGTCTTTTAATAACTTTGTCTATGCTTTAGTTTTTCTAAGCAAACAGGAGTCTAATTACTGACTTCAACAGCTAATTTACATTTTGAGGATTCAGAAAAAATCTTTGAAACATTGACTTTTAATTTGCTTTATCTTCTCACTCACCTCATTTGAAACAATAGGGGGAAAAGGTCTTCAAAATTTTGGGGAACTCTCCCATCCTCTTGTTCTCAGTTCCTTTCTAGACCAACAGTAGGAATAGCCAAAATTTTTAAAGTGTCATAAATTTGATTATGATTGAAAAATTAAAAAGAAAAAATCCACAGTAATCTTTGTTTCCATTTTTCACAGACTTTATTTCAAGTCCTCTTTGTATTTATGTCCTACAGCTCTAAATGACCAGTGAAATTACTCTTGCCCAGTTGCTCTGATGGCCTTTGCTGTGTGGCTCATGACCAGGGCTCTTTGTTCCAGGCTGGATCCCATGGCCCATGCTCAGGTGAGAGCTCTAAGGCCATCAGTGAGCATCCTCTGAACACAACTTCACAGACTCTGGGATTTGGCTTGAAAACATTAAACAATCAAAATGGATTGAAAACGAAAGAAAGGGGTGTGTTAATTTTGCAACATATCCCAGTATTCTGCTTGAGTAAAATTCCTCTGGGCTGATGTAAGAAAGTGATAGGTGTTTAAGTTCCTTTGATCGGGGGTGGGGTGTGTGGTGTGCATTTTTATCCTAATGACTACTGCATTTATACCACATGTATGTAGATTTCCTTTCTTGTTTAAGGAACCTTCAGTAACCCTTGAATTATGGTGTTGAAAGCTTGCAGATTTGTATCTTCCCACAGACAGCCTAGCCCGGAGAATAAAGGATGCTTCCAACAGTCAGCACTGGGAAAAATAGTCTCTAAAAATACTTGATGTGTGATATTTCACTGACGTCTCTCATGATGTAGCTTTACAATGGGAGCAAACATGCCTACAAAGATCACTGCAGGTTTTTCCACCATCATCACAGCCATTTTGCTTTCTTTTCTGAAGGGTATCTGTGCTCCCTGCGGTCCTGTGCATAAGCCTACAACTAGGAAACAAGCTTTTTGTCCTAATCTTAAACTTCCTTGGGACATGGAAGAGAGCACTGCACTAATATGAAGAAAATCTGCCACCCTTTATCTGAGAAAGTAGCAGAACAGAGGGCTAAAGAGAGGGACTCTCCATATTAAATGATCTTCTGACTTTTTTCTGCCATCTGCCTGGTGTAAGTGCAAGAACAGGAATGGGAAAAAGGTTGATGTACTCACTGAAAGCAAGTTCTTCATATCCTGACCTTGAGGACGGAGTTGTTTAAATTTTATTGCTAAAGACAATGACAAGTGCATTTAGATGTTGTCTTTTGCGCTCACAGCTCTGATTATAAACTGCCAGCAGATATGGGGAAGCAGTGTCTGTTTTAAGGGAACAGGAATTGAAAGCCTCTCTAGTACAGATGATATCAATATTGCACCTAGGTCTGGAAATAATTGAAGAAAAAGCCAAGTTCCAGAAACCCCAGGAATTTTACACAGAGAAAATCATGGTGTGTCTTTCTCCTTCTGCAAACAGTGTTTTAACATTGAATAAATATATTGGCAGTTCTATAAACATTCCTGATCTGCACTAGGCATATAGACCTATAGACACGTCAGGTGACTCATACTAGCATCATTTCCCTTTTACTTTTGTTGTTTGGATATTTATTTCAGTACATTGTTTTTTACATGTTTTTTTGATGAGAGGTAATGTTTTAACAAAGGTGCGTTGATGATTGACACCAGACTAGAAATGAGATTCTGGTCAGATCTGATGATTCATGTCCAGGTAATTACCCCAGATGCAACTTGGTAAAGCAAGCTTTCTCAAACAAATAAAACTTAACATCATTCTTTGTAACAGTCCCAAATCGATAATAGCGTAAGTTCTGCCACAGGTGGTATTAAATGAGCCTCTGGCTCAGTGTACTCCCAACTCTAAGGCTGTACCACTTGCCTACATTTTTAACATGCTCTGTTTCTTCTGTCCAAGTCTAACCACTCTCCGATGAACAGCATGTAGGAGTTACTTCAAGGGAATAATTTTTTCTTCAACATGCAACTAGCACAGAATATACAAAAAAATTAAATAGGCGGTCAACTGAGTGGCATTTTCCAAGTTTTTTATTCCCTTGCCTGAAGAAAACAGGGACATTTCCCCTTTTAATTCCTCCTACTCCAAAGGCCAGGTTTCACCACACAGAGAGGCAGAGAGGTCCCTGGGACTCTGGTTTGATTGCAAAGCTGCGTTACTGATTTTAGGATAAAAACTTGTAACTTTGTCCTGTTTTGACAGCTGTGTCAACATGCTCAGAGCTAGCTCTGACATCTCTGAGCTCCATCACTGGAAATATTCTCCAGGAAGGAAGAGAAACCTGTTGTATTCTAAGGTGAATAGAGAAATTGTTAACCAGGAAAGCTATTTTGGAGACACATTTGCAACTACACCAAGTCAAGCATGCTTTTGAATAAAGATGACAAACCAGGTAGTCTAGGGATCATTACAGACAACTTGGTGGGCCGTAAGTCATGGTAATTCCACTGAAACCAATGAGGAAATATCCAAACCAGTGAATTTTTATGAGACTGTGGGAGGTTTGAAGGCATGAGCCTTGTGTTTACCCAACACCTGTTTGAGGCTATCAAAAAGCCCTTTAATGGCATTATCAAAGTCCTTCTGTCAGAATAACTATGGAACGAAGAGCTTTATCCCAGAAGACAGTGCAGTTATTGGGCATATCTCTACTTTTATAGATATAATCAAGCAGACATAATGACCTATGACTACCCAGTTTTATGATATTTTCTAGTTGTTTATCAAAGACAAAAACAAAACCCAGCAGCCCTAAACCCACAGTTTTCTGTATGCATTAAGATCATGTACCCTGCAAAGACCAAGCCCTCCTATGGGCTTCTTGCCCCCATTGTCAACAAGTCCTGTCTATCTGGGCACAAAACCAAACTGGGAATAGAGTACTAGCTGTTGCAGAATAAACAGAAAATACTTCAGGCTGTCAAATTAAATTTAAAAAATTTCAAATATTTTAACAATACAGAAGAAAGGTAACATTAGATGTAGTCTACCATTTTTTCACTGAGAAATATATTGACATTTTGCCAAGCTCTAGTTTGGAATATGGTCAAAATTCTTTCTAGCTGAAACAGTTAATATATGTCTGAATCACATTATTTTCTCCAGTGTTACTTATATATCGTACTTTCTAATTAATTCATGTTTTTATTCTGAGCTACAAAAGCATAACTTAATCATGGTTCAAGTTAGCTAAGGATTAAAACCAAAGAAATCCTGTTACAAGAGTACCTAAAGTCTGAGGCCAAGTAAGTTCCTTCATGGGACCCCTCTACACTAACATTAAAGTGGTCAGTAAGGGCAGATACTGCTTTGTAGAGAAGTTAAATGATTTGTTTCTGTATAGCTATGGATATGGAGGGTGGGAAATATGCAAGCATGCTGTATGTGTTCTAAGGTGTTTGTCCATCTCTTTGGCCAGATCTGCATTATGGACAGGGTGTGTTTCTGAGACTAAGTCCCACCTGGTGCACTAGCAGCACCCTGCAGGAGACGGCAGCCCTTAGCTTAGGTCTGAAAACCCAGTGTTGCAGGCTCAGGTTAAGAAAGTCAGGACACAAGCCTCAAACAAAACCTGGGCATGGCATCCATGGGACAGCCAAGTACAGCATAGTGGAGTTACCACGTGGGTTTGGACACACGGTGTGTTGCAAATTTGATCTCCTCTGAGACCAATCATAGTGTCAACTGCACTTACGGTCCCACTTTATTTCCCAGGACTTGTCTGTCCTCAATGCTTGAGGCAGAGGTTGCCTTCCACCATTGTGGTGGAACAAAGGAGCCACCCAGAAAGACTGGAAAGCCCAAGACATTGAAGCTGATGGTTAAGCAAGAGCTGCTCAAGCATAAATACAGGCTGAGTGATGAGTGGATTTAGAGCAGCCCTGCAGAGGGCTTGGGGGTGTTGGTGGATGAAAAACTGACTATGAGGCAGCAATGTGCACTCACAGCCCAGAAAGCCAACTGTACCCTGGGTTGCATCAAGCGAAGTGTGGCCAGCAGGTCAAGAGAGGGGATTCTCCCCCTCTAATCTGCTCTCGTGAGATCCCACCTGCAGTGCTGTGTCCAGTTCTGGGGCCCTCAACATAAGGACATGGACCTGCTCGAGTGGGTCCAGAGGAGGCCACAAAGAAGATCAGGGGGCTGGAGCACCTTCCTTATGAGGACAGGCTGAGAGAGTTGGGGCTGTTCAGCCTGGAGAAGAGAAGGCCCCAGGGAGACCTTATAGCAGCCTTCCAGTACTTAAAGGGGGATACAGGAAAGATGGGGAGGGACACTTTATCAGGGAGTGTAGGGATAGGACGAGCAGTAATGTTTTTTAAAGTGAAAGAGAGTAGATTTATATTAGATATAAGGAAGAAATTCTTCACTGTGAGGGTGGTGAGACACTGGCACAAGTTGCCCAGAGAAGCTGTGGCTGCCCCCTGCCTGGAAGTGTTCAAGGGAAGGTTGGACGGGGGTTTGAGCAACCTGGGCTAGTGGAAGGTGTCCCTGCCCATGGCAGGGGGGTTGGAACTGGGTGATCTTTAAGGTCCTTTCCAACCCAAACTATTCCATGATTCTATGATTCCTATTCAGCTGCTCACCCATTCTCTGTGTTGGTAGAGCTCCTGCCTGGCCCATCCATTGGACACAGACTGCTTTTTGGGAGTCTCTTTTACATAGCCTAGTGGTTGGGATGTGGGACTGTAAGCAGAAAGCCTGGGACTGATTTCCAATGGGACTGAAGTGCTGCTTTTTTCCTTATGTCTTCTAAAGGTGCTCTAAAGCGATTACCACATTTAGTGGAAAAGAAGTAGTAAGTCCTGAGAAATCAAGACTATCAGGAAGCAACAGCCCAGCAGATTTCAGTAGATCAATGGAATAAACTTGAAAGAGAGGCTATACAGAAATTGCTATAAGTGAAATACAAGTGGAAATAGGATATTCTGATGGAATCCTCAAGATTTCCTTAGAATAAGACTTACGTGACACAAGGAAAAAATCTGAGAAGTGTTTCTGAAATTATTATAACAGATCTGTGTCTTAAAGCATTCTGAGTCAGTGGCTGTCATACCTAAGCAAGTCCTCTCCTCAGCCATGTTACACTATAAGGCATTTATATAAAAATGCAGTATTTTCGTCTCCAAAATCACCAGGTAGGGAATCATCAGAGGAGTTTCATGTTTTTCTGCAGGACATACTGCTGCATAAATGAACAAGTCATCTTACTATTATCTGCAAAAATAGTAAACTAAATAATCTCATTTGAATGTATATTTATTTTATTATCATCTCATCAGTGGAACATGGATTGTATGTATTAGCTTATATCTCTAAAGTTAGTGTTATGCTAGATGTCAGACTTGGATTTCTTACACATAGTGAGTTCTGTCACACCCATAATTCAGATGGCATTTTCACAGGAGAGGTATTCATGCAATTTCAGACAAGGCCAGAAGGCATCCTCCAAGAATACCCTGCTTTTAAGTGGCTTAATATACCTTCAGCCATGGCTGTTGAGCTTTCCTACAGAGGGTTCATATGCAGCGCTGTGGGAGAGAGCTGTGGCTTGCCCCGTGTAGCTGCTGGTGGCCCTACTTGCTGCATCCCTCAGGCTGTGTCTCCCTGATAGCAAATATGGGTTGCTAACCTGGCTCATTTACACAGGGACATTGGAGCTGCGAGGTAGCCCTACATGGGGTGCTGATTCATAATGAACAGTGGGAGATCACAGCTCTGCCTGAATGTGCCAGTCCTCTTCCCTGCAAGCCATGGGCTGCTCTTGCCAGCACAGCACAGCTTTATTAAAAAGACGATCATGAGTTTAGAGTGCTCCATTTTTTGGTGCCCTGTTGTAGGTAAATTAGGTAATAATTTTTAGTTTAACAGCATTACTACTCAGCTGTCTACAAACATCTAATACTGGGCTTACTGAATAATGCATCTTAAAAAAAATAATCAGGACATCTCAAAAATATTTGAACTTACATTTTTGAGGAATTTTTAAAGTGCCATTTCAGAGCCAGCACACAAACAGGTTCAACTCCTCTGAAGATAATGGATGTTTACCAATCCCTGATTTGCTTTAGCCTACAAATACATGACCTTATTTTGATCAACAAAATGCAATCCATGCTGTGGTCATAACATTATAAACCAGCAATATATGAAAAAAGAGGAGATTTACACTGCAGTCAAAGGTATGATCACAGCTGAGTGAACTTAACCTATGGAATCCAGCTGCCACCTGTTACAGTGATGAAGAAGACACCTTTGCATGGACTTTACAAACCCACTACAGTTCTGGGAAAGTGGGCTGAAAGCTAAAAACCTGTGGTGAAAGCTGGAAGGTGAAAATGTGTTCATAACTACTTTCATTCAAAGCTAAATGAATTAAAGCTAAACTTCCAGTGTCAGAGCTGTTATCTTCAGGTAAAAGTTACTCTTGGGTCAATAAATTAAAGGGTAGGGACTACAGATAAAATAATGTTTCCAAAGCACTTATAAACTACAATATCTTTTCTAGACATGGACAGCTCATCCAGAATGAGTGAGCAACTCAACATCTATTAATGAAGAACATAACATTCTAGTTTTTGGGGATATATATTTTTAGCATAGGAAATATCTCCTGAAGCACTTCCTTTCTTGTATGTTTACTGTGACCCAAGTAGTTCAAATGGAAATTTTCAAAGCACTTACATGACCTTTTTCATTATTGAATGTAAGCTAAGCTTTTTGGAGCTTGTATCCATTGGGATGCCAATATAAAGTAATCTCAAAGACAAAATTTTAACTTAGAAATTTGGCTTATAAATTTTGATTATAAGTGCTTTGGAAAATCCTATTTTATCTATGATTCCCAATTTTGTATTTCCTGGCCAAAGAAGTAATACTGTAACAGAGCAAAGAAGTAAATGCAGATATCCCAAACGCCAAAGTAGTGTGTTCAACTTCAGTGTGTCAAAAAATGGCTAGCTTGAGTTCATGTGTGAGGGTAACAGATCCTCTAGTGAAGTTTTGGAAGATAACGAGTACTCATGTAAGACCAGTCAAATGTTTATGTCTAATATAATATTTATTTCCAGCTTAGTTTTCCTTCTGCCTCCTCTGACTACTTAACATTGATAGAGACTGATCTAAGATCTGAAGATACTAATGGAAACTATAATGGAAATACCATGATCTCCATTTCTTTCTGTAGATCCCAGAAGACACCATCTGAGAGCCAGAAAAGAACAAAACCAGATAATGCTGGTCATAGAGCTCTCACTGCAGAGGTAAATTGCAGAAACTTGGAAAGAGATAATTGCAAGTAGGAAAGTAACTCATTAACATGATTTTATCCTTCTTCAACTTGAAATTGCAGTGTGCGGATCACTCCTACCTCAATACAAACAATCCTAGCCCTGTATGCAGTCCCTACCCAGAAGTCACCTTTTTGGATCCACTAGGCTACCTTATTTGCAGATATTCTTTGTTAATGCTAGAAGTTGGACCAAATAATTTAGTTGGGTTACTGTAATCAGTCCTGTTCCTTGTATTCCTGTGTCTTTTTTCTTTTCCCTCTTAATTCAACTTTCAAACTTACACTTAAGAGCTGCTGTCTTGAAAGGCCTTCTTGTATGTACTTATTGCTGTTTTAGGAGATAAAATAATTTAGGTAGTACATAGATTTGTTACATTTGTATTCTAAGTTTGAATATTTGCCCATCCATCCATCCATAAGTAACTGCTGGTAAGGCAGTTTTGTTCTGCAGTTTTATGTTTGTTGAAACCTTCAGTTCTCTCGAAGCTTTTCAGGAGCAACAGGAATCTACTCGTTCAATGCGTTGTCTGCTGTTGCTTTCCAATGAATGCCAAGGAATGTCAATGTTGGCATTTATTGCAATTTCAAATTGACTGCAAGCTAGCAAAGTGCATCCCTTATTGAGTAGCACCCTCAATATAGAGATAATGACAACTCATCCAATGGCAGTCTTATAGACCTGCTAATGTTTGGATGACCTTAAGGACTAGCTGTTGAATTTCTTGTAGCCCTGGAGGATTTGTCAAACAGGGCTGGAATAAGGGCAATTATGAGACCTGGATGGCAAAAACATTTCTTGCCTTCTATAATGCTTCTTTTCAACCAACTCAATGCATTCCTAAAGTCAATGAAAGCAACAAACAACTTTAAATCCCATGTATTAAAATGAGAATTAAAAAAAGACTAGTGGGCTGAAATTAATGATGATTCAGAAATTAGTCAGCTATTGAATTGACTTTCAAAATCCGTTTTCAGTAAGAAAAAAAAAAAAAAAGAATAGTATGAATAATTGGAAACTAAGGAGCTTTTGCAAGGTACTTAGTGTGTGTGGAAGTAAAGGAATTCCACAAAGCATGCAGAAGTTGTACTAAGAAAAATAACTAGTGTAATTACTGACCACTAGCAAGTATCTTTTAAAAATAATGAGTAACTGCTAAGATTCCAGATGAATGTAGCAAACAATCTGACATTCATTTTTTGAAAGACTTGAGAGATCTGACTGGATATGAGATAATTACCCTTGAAGTGAGTAGAGCACATCACTAGTCCATCCCTAGTCAGTTCTGTGACCCTAATCCAACAGGGCACTCAGGGTAGGCTGGCATAGTTCCATAGAGTGTCCCTTGTGTTTTCATATTACTCCAGAATATTTCACACTGGTATATAAAATTAATGGTACTTTTTAAATTCCAAGAATTTTATTGGAAAAGAATATTCATATGTTTAAAACTAAAGTCACTCTCTGATGTTATGCTGCACTAGATAAAATACATGACAAATGGTGATTTTGCCAACAAATCCTTTCTATAAATTCTGAAATTTAAAAAAAAAAAAAAAAAAGAAAAGAGCTAATCTTCACTAATCTTCAACACTGTTTCAGTTGAGCACTAATGAGCCCACTTGCCAGCTTGCATGGGTAGGTGAATTTACTCACAGTGGATGGATTTTCACCAGTAGATAATCTGTCACCAAAATAAAATCGACAGGTTAAGGTTTTGTCTTTTTTTGTGTGTCATATGTGTGAGATATATGTTATTGCCTGTAGGTCCTGCTCCAGAATAAAACTATGATAACATCCCTGGGCTAGTGTATACCACAAAAAAGCTGAATGAGCCTTTCTCATGCTTTTCACTGAATCACATAAAGCTCACAGCACCACACACAGCCTTGGAAAAACCACTTCTTTTATGTGTTTCAGGTAGTCTTGAAATGGAGACACTTACCTAAAAGCACCTTAAGCAAAGCATGCTTAGCTCCCAAAGTATTACTATATTTATTTTGGACATCAGGTACTCGTGGGGAAGATTCAATATATTTACTTGCCTGTGCACTAACTGAAAAGACAAAAATAATTCCCTGGCCTGCTTTAGGCACAGAAAGTAGCAAGATAGGAAAAGGCTTTTCTCTTTGTACTTTTTTTCCTCTCACCCATGGTGCACAGCACTAAACACACAAAATTTATCTTGCAGTTCATAGCATGTTGGCTTTGTTTCTTTTTTTGGGGAAAAGATAAATTCTTAAACTTTTCATTAAAATTTTTATTTGCTCCCACTCCCCCAGAGCTCAGCATGCAAAGTCTTTCAGCTTTTTTTTTTTTTCCCTTTGTTTGTATCCATTCTACTCTGAAAGAGCATTATTTATAACTTTCCTCCCTTTCCATGCTCTTTGACAAAGCTCAGAGCATAATATTTGCAAGAAACTTCTGTTGCTGGTAAACTCATTCTGGAAACATAGGGAGGTGTCTGTTCAACAGTTACCTGTACTGCTGCTGAGGCCCATTTCTGATGGGGTCTCACTCGGCCTGGTTTGGGGCGAATCAGCAATATGAAGAGGGTCCAGGCTGAGGCATTTTAAGTGTGAAAGAGAAAACTTTTTTCCTCATGCTGTTGCTAAGAAACTCCACCGATCAAGGAAAAAAACCCAAACAAATCCATACAAAGAAAACTAAGCCCCTCCCCTCAAATTGCTGCAACAACTTCCAGATCTGTGAATTGTAAATTATGCCTCTCTGGGTTTAAAGGCATTGCTCATGTTCAAAACTTCAGTACATAAATGGAGGCAGCTGAATAAAACTGTCCTGCCTTTCCTTTCGAAAGAATTAAGCAAAGGGAGCTAGGGATCTATTTACAGCAGTGGGTAAAAGGGTAGATGTAGGCATTTAATTTTACTTACTCAATGTGTGAAAATTGTGGCTGTAGTGACAAATTATTGCTGAAGCAAATTCATGCACATCTTTCCATCAGGTAATTTTTCTCCTCTCAAAAACAACAATGGAAAAAGGATCTAAGCTTTTCTCCCAGAACTGTAAATATACTCAAAATGATCTCTATTCTTCAAATCTTTCCTGAACATGCTTAGCAGCACTCATTATTTCTTGCTAATTTTGTGTTTGACAATATATATCTTGTCCTACCCCAAATATGTGCATCTTGCATTACAGATTGCCATTTTGTGCATGTGTGTGCATATCTGTATGTATGTGTGTGCACAGTGCTTCTTATGCAGCAAAGGCTCTCAGACACAACAGTAGCCACAACATTAATTACAGAGTTCCACTAGAATGTAAAATAATTTGTCCTCTTTATTCTGTTTCCACCATAGACCAATGACCTACAGTTGCATCTTTATAATGACGGAGGGAAGACGACAATATTTTCCAAGGTTGGCAACATATCACTGTATTGCTCGCTCTCTCTCTCACAGGTCCTGAGCTGCTGTATCACCCAAAGGCAACTGGGCTTTGTACCCTGACTCTGGCTGGAAATAATTTTTCCACAAGAAAGGGGAAAAAAAACCCTTGATAAGCAGGTTATTACCTTCTTGTGCCAGCCTTTCTCTCTCTATCCAAAGAGGCCATTTTATTGTCACCTCCTTGACCTCATGAGCCTGGAGTAATAGCTTCCTAAATCTGCTGTAGGCTGTAACACCTTTTTCTGGCATTGTTGATTCCTTGTGCATAATTCTCATAATCTCTCTTCTGGAATTAGCTCTTGTTCTCAATTGGAATAGGTATATTTTGTCACATAAAATATGTTTTTCAGTGTTACAGATTTTGGATTAAAACTATCTCGCCCAAACCCCTGGCTCTAAAGTCACCACAGGAAATGATATATGCACCAAGATGCGTTAACAAAATATCATCTGGACAAAGCAGCTGAAAGACAAGCAGAACTAGACAGTTGCAATTACTTTGCCTGCCAAAACTCACCCACAAGTTCAGTAGTTAGATAAGGTGGTTCATTTCTTTGGGTCCCATGGGTCATTCCTTTGGCTATATCTGGATATGTCAAAACATTTGCAAATGCAATTGTAAGACAAGACCAAGCAACAAGTCATATCAGTTTTTCTAGATGGAGAATCTCTACCTCCAGTAAATATAACTTAATTTGGGGAAAAAGTCACATTCTTTTCCCTTCAGCTGCTGCAATCACTGCTAAGTGACTGTCAAGACAGACAACACATTTCAGAAATCAGCATTTTGCTCTAAAATATCTATTAACCATATCCCACTTAGTCTTGAGCATCTATTTTAAAGTATCAATCAGATAATTCAATCAGTGTTATGAAATGGAATACAAGTAAACAACTTTTTATTTAACGTAACATTTGTCAAGCTCCAAGTGACACAAATGTGATTAACACAAACCGACAAATACACGAAAGCAATTTCGAATATTTGAGCTAAAAGCTTGAGCTTAGAGAGTTTTAAGGTGCATGAAAACACAGATGAGTGTTTTACCTGCCTGATGATGAACTTCTAGAACAATGAAGTCTGAACACTACAGAGTGCTTGCAGTAGTCATAAGGGTAATGTTATTGCTTGAGTGTCCTCTGCTGGACAGTACATGGCATAGCAATGAAACCACCAGCGTATATTGGATGGATTTTACTAAGAAAAAATTATCACTGCAAAATTCAGAATATTCCTTATGTTTCATAGACACTTAACTAAAACAATTAGTTTTTAATAAAATTCTACAACTGAGATTTTTAAAAACAATTATTTCCTTTATTGAAACCTATTTGTAGTTTTAAGCAGGCATAAAATTTTCAGCTGAGCTAAGATAAAATGCTTCTTGGAAAAATACTACTTTTGTCCATTTTGCAGTGGAAAATTGTAGCAATGATTCGTTTAGTTATTGTGGAAATTTTCTGATTAAAGGCTTTGTTTTTATTATGAATTCTGATTGAATTTGAGCTTGTCATTCCCATGTCAGTCTACCGTGTGGATGTGTGTACAGGGTCAGTATCACATTTCGTGGGCCTTTGGCATGCAGCTGTTCTGCCAGCAGTAATCTTTGACCCTTTTAGGGAAGTTTGCCTTTATCTGTTGAGAATTTGCTTCAGTTCATGTAACTTGTTCTGTCTGTTACTGGTAACCAGGTATACATAAAGCATTTTCATACCTGCATGCTAGTTTTTCTTGTTGTTGATTGCAGGTTTGGTATTAGTTTTGCCTTCTGAACAGTGTTATTATTTATTATTTAGTTATTTGTAATGTTGTGAAAATTGTTTCTAAAAGAATCTGTCCTGATCCTTGTGACACTGGTCTACATGGCTTTCTAAATACATGATTCATTCTCTGCACCAGAAGAACCTGGCAAATGTTCTTTGATCTTGCGATTATCTTCTTTATTTATAGGAGCATCTTCTCTTCCTCCATTCACTATAGGTCTGGACTTCTTATTTTGAAAGTCTTTCTTTATCAATATATAAAAAAGGATTGCAAACAAGTAGGAAGGACCTCTTAACACTGCTGATAAACCAAGGTAGACATACCTGTGAGGTAGAGCATAGAAGATAGTGCCAGGTATTGAAGTTTTCAAAGACACCAAAGAAAATAATTTTAATGGTTTTAAGGATCAAATATATACTAAAAAAAGCTTAGGGGAAAACACCAAAATTCATTCTTGGTGAATGGTGCCACAAACTGGACAATTTTGCTTGCAAAAACTTCTGTTAAAGAATTGATAATATTCTTTTTGCTTATGAAGATAGTTACAAAGTGAAACTTCCATCATCTTCCCTTTGTTTCCTTAGACTTTTTAGGACTAGAAATATACGGAGATCGCAGAGTATGAAGTGGTCAAGATTTAGATGAAACTAAGAAAAATTTCTGGAATATACCTCCTGGAGAACAATAGTGTTTGTATTTAACCAATACCTTCAGCTGCTCAATATGATTTTCTTTCTTTTTCTCTCAAGTTGACCAACCCACAAAGTTAACATTTTTTGCCAGTATGAACAAACTACTTGAAAATTAGGTAAATTTGTGTAACTTTCCTCTCGATGATAAATCATACAATCCTAGGTCTTTTAAAATGACTCAAAGGATATTGAAAACACAAAATTCGTTCCATAAATATCTGTTATTTATATTAAATGATTTTTGCACAACATAAAAACTGACTAAAAACCTAAGAGTTTAAGATTTGACCTTAAGATTTCCCCATTTCAGGAATTCTGGAATGACTTCAATCTGATTCCAGAGTTAGTATCTGACTATAATTTTTGATCACTGGCCTCACACACTACAGTATAACAGAACAAAGCATGTCCATCTCGTAGAGAGGAAATGCATGAGAGTTTTTGGACCCTAATTTGCCTTACCTGTATGCATTGGAGTCATATAGCCTACAAGCCCCTTGCTGCCCACAACTTGTACTTCCCCATTTCAAACATGTCTTGTCAATTAGTGCACCAAAATAAACTGGTGCTGGAATCCCAGCTGCAAGGAAACAAGCAAAAATGTCACAAGGTATCACAGGAAAAGACATCTTTTTAGAAGTCAGCTTTATATTTTCTTAGTGGCAAGTTGCGTGCTGCAACAGGGGGAATAGGTGGTTTGGACTGTGGGGAGACTTCCTTGCCTTTGTCACCCTCTCTGTGCTGTGGGGATCATCAGTCTCCAGTTAATATGGTCTGATGGGCTTGGCCAGGCTTCTAGTCATGCACATTGGTATTTCAAGTGTGGGTCTGAGAGTCACCTCTGGCTTCCAGTGCATATTAAGCTCCTTGCAAGGGAGATCTGGAATTGTTGTGCGTTTGGAGCACTGAACTGATGTTCCTTCTTCTACGCATAGCCTAAATTACCCACCTGGCTGATAGTTCCTTCTGTCTGAGTGAGGGTAAAGCAACTGAAACCCTTAGAGTGACTTGGCCAGATACGAGTTTATGCTTTACTGCAAAATATGTCAGACGTGGGACAAAATCCTGGCCTTGCTGAACTAAAGATATTAGCTTCAGAGGGATCCAGGTTTCAGCGTGTACAGGACCATGTTTCACATTAGCTTTGTTCCTACAGGAACAAATGATGTTTCCTACATCCTTATATAGGAAATAATTTTGTAAAAACAGGAATACTCTCAGCCTAGGGCTCTTGTGAGGGTCTGAACTCAGCAATCTATCCATAAAGGCCTGTGTATTATGATCATCAGTGCTGTAGTCAGGGTACAATAGGACAAATGTTCATTTTGGAGGTTCATTAGAGAAGAAAGATAGGAGCACATCAGATTTGGTCTCTGAGTCACTGAAGAGAAATCCCAGGTTTTTTGAATCAGTGACAATGGCTCTACCCCTTCTTAAAATGGATGCAGCATGCTGGCTTAATGTGCTGAGGCAGAACCCTATAGAAAAGGGACAGTTCTTTTTTCATAATGCATTTTATTTGCTGTGGCAGAAATTGCCCCAAGAATCCCATTGGCATTGCTTGTTGTGAGATATGGGGGACAAATTCTGCCCCTCCATTGTGTGATGAGAAAAGTAGAAGGGGACAAAGTGTGGATACACCTTCTTGTCTCAGGATGTCCATCACAATCCTGAGTAGAGTCTGCAGCCCTAACCTTGCTCTGATTGCAGACATTTGTAAGCAGCTGTTCATTTTTTAGGATTCTTATCAATCCCATGTAGTTGTCTCTTCACACACATTTCTCTACATTTCTGAAATGCACATATTCCTATTCCATTGACAAAGACAACAAAAGGAAATAGGGTGGTTTTCTTGCCTGCCCAGGCATCTTAATCAACCATCTCATTAGCAACTCTCAAATAAAAATGGAAAAAAAAGAGCATTGTACCATGCTTAAAATGAATTGAAATCTAAGCTGTTTTCTACACGGAAAGTTTCAACATGGAGAAAACACTCTGCTATGAACAGAGTTGTATTAGTGTTGAATGAAGTCCTACTAGAGCACATCTTTTTGATCTTACTTGCAGAATTGTATCTCAGTGAGCCATTGGTTGAATCATAAGTTTGAAACCTTATAGTGTTGCTTAGAAATTCAAGACAATACTTTAATTTTGCTTAGAAACTCTTCTCATTTTGGAACACCAGGCTCCCGAACTGCAACACCGTTTAATCAGCAGGTCAAAGATTTTCAGAATTTTGTTAGCCAATTACACAATGAACTCTTGACTGAATATTGAACCTTCAGGAAAAAAAAATCCAGTATCTTCAGGAACAGCTCAGGATCTAACAGGTGTTTCAAGGATACATCTGATTTACAAATGGCGATTGCATTGGTGTCATGTAAAGCCATAAAAGCAAGCATCTCAGAATGATTTGTCTTACCTAGCACTCTCAGAATGAGTGTGTATAGACCAACAGCAAGAGATTTCAACTCTGGCTGAACGCATCTGAAAGAAAGAGGGATAAGTATGAAGGATTTGCCTATCTAGTGCTTAGACAGGCCTATTACACTCCTGTTAATTACCCTGAATTTAATACTCTTAATGACAGAAAACCAAGCTTTGGAAAGAGAGTACTTCCTATGTCTGCTGAAAATATGTTTAGTGGCATGAAAAAGGTGAATTAATCTATTGTTTTCCAACACATAGCCCCTGGGAAGTCCATTCACTAAGCATAATTAAAGTGAAATTTTAAAGACATAATCACAGTCTATCCTAGTCTTATTGAAATGGGCTCTCCAACTGCCTTAACTCCCAGGCATACATTTTCCTCACTTGATGTGATATACCTTACTCACTTGATGGGAAATGTTGTATTGCCCTAAGACAAAAATATTGCAAGTAGCTGCATTAGTGCAGCATCTTTCCATTTTCAAAGGACATTCCTCTGTACAATGCCACATCTTGAACTGCACAAAGCCATCTGGCAATATGCCCATCTGTTTCATGGGAAACCACACTCCAAGCATCAGAAATGGGCACAAATCCATTATATCTCCATCGTCTACCAGCTCCTTACAAATACTAACATGGTCAAGAGTCAGGAAGATGTCTCACAGAGATAAGGAAGTGAGGGGAGTTTGTATTCTGTCTACCATGCTCATTTAGGATCACATAATGACCTTAGGACTACCATTAATTTGCCACTAATGCATTTTTCTACTGAGTGAGCTTTCTCTTCAGATTATTGAAACATATGTGCTAATTTGTATACGTGGTTCCAAATAGCCTACTGGTATGCCTACACCTGTGCTCCTCAACAGACATGAGCATACTAGCTTCAGATTGAGTCCTCAGGTGTCCTGATTTTCCAGACATCTGATAAACACAATCTGTTAGGGCAACCCCACATCCAGGAATCCTGACAAATGCATGACATTTTCAAAATGCATACAGTCAGAATATCCAAGGACATGCTCTGGAAAACTTGGGCATATGACAGGCATAAGAGAAAACATTTTGTAGTAGTTGGAAGAAACACACTAGAACTGACTTACAGAAAGCAGCAAAGAAAGGTTTGATGCTAACAGCTACAAATGGGAAATGACAAAACTCTTTAAAGAAAGCATGTTATACTGCAAGAGAATCTTTTTTCCTAAGGGAAAGTGAGAAACATGAACATAATTTGATCCCCACCTTGGAAAGGCTCAGTCTTTGGGTACACAGTTAGTTTTACTTACCTAAACATAATAATGTATGCTGGGGTACCTCCCAGTGCATAACAAAAGCCACTTATGACTTGTATTACTGTATAATAAATAAACTTAATTGAACAATCTTCACTTTTTGGACATTGCCCCAAGGTCACAGAGTTATTTCCTGTCCATGAACTGCTGACTGCAAGACAGCTGCAGTTATGGAAGACCTGGAAGACACAAAGAATATTACGTAGAACACTGCTCATGCAGTGGAGAATCCGGCCTTCAGACACAGGCAGAGCCTGAAGTCTTCCTAAGCATCCTGTTCGTATCTTATTTGCCTTTCTTGAGGCAATGGGCAGCAGCTTCTTTTCTTTCCCACAGACAGTGCTCAGAGTTGGAAGGGAAGCTCTGTGCCAGCATATTTTTGCCCAGTGGACACAGCAAACCTTTTTGGAAGATGTTTGCACTACTTGCAGGACCTCTGAGGTTGGCCTCAGCCTTTGTGTCCCTGAAGGGCAGTTGAAGTGGAAAAGCAAGGCTCGACAAGCTGTGCCTTTTGCTACTAGGTGACACCACTTGTTAGCTGGCTTGTCTCTGTGAAAAGCACCTAGATCACAGGTCCCTCTCTGATAATGCTGATCCACTAGAGGTACCTCACAGCTGTAAGCAGCAGCTCATGCAGAGCCCTGAGATCAACAGAAGGTGTACTGATAGCTTAGGAGCAATAGCTTATAACCAGGGCTTCAGGGACTTTAGGATGTGCTGAGATAAGGGGAACTATGAGCCACAAACCTTAACCTCTAAAGAGACAGTCTTGTGTGGGAGGCAGTAGTCCCACTGTCATAGGTGCTGTTGAGCCCTACTCCCCTGCCTTCCACCTTAAGATTTTAAGCAAAAAATGTCTTCCGGAGAAGACTGTAGACAGTAGAGAAAAAATAGCCACAAAGAAAAATCTGTTAAAGAGAAAACTGTCAGAGTGCAAGAGACAGCTTCAGACCATGTATCTTCTGGAGTGATCATCTGACATCAGAAAACATGGGAATGACACGTGCCAGTTAAGGCTTATAACCATGGACTGGAGCTTCCTCTCTGGGGCTCTGTGCATTATCTCCAGTACTCTGTGCAGAGCAGAAAGCAGTCAGCCAAAAAGATAAGCAGTATCCTGCCATTTCAGAGTCTCACATGGAGAAAACAAGCTGCCTCCCCTCAAATCATTCATACTTGCACATATTACACTATCTTAATGTACTTTAGCTGTTGGCTAAAACCTCAGGGCAGCTAAAATAACATTTATGAAAAGCAAGCCATGGACAAACTTCAGGCAACATGTAAGCACTTCGGTTTGTTTGTTTTCCCCTCTTGTATTCAATCTACAAAAGATTAAAATTACTATCTACAGAAAGGAGCTAGGGCTTTTTGCTTGATGTGCAGTAAGTCAGAGAAATGTCTATGTCTTCTGTACTGTTTGTAGCCAGAAATCATAACTACTTTACTCATTTGTCCCCAGTATCTTTGGTTTTCCTTAAATGCATTATACTACTAAATCCCTGATGTTATATAGAAAAAAAAAAGCTAGTAGAAAACCTAGGAAACTGAAGCAGGGTCTTACTGTGCTCTTTCCATGTCCCACCGAAGTCATGCACCCAGCTAGACATGCCGAAACATACGTGAGTCCGTTGTCTCCACACACAGGGTCCCACACATTGGAGGCACATTTGCAGTCAGAGTTGCACTCAGTAAATATGGCATTTTCATGGTACGGAATGGGTTTGCTTGGAAGTTAAGTTCAGACAGGTGTAAGAGTGTCAGACATTCTCAATTCAGTGCTGAGTCCAGTGTAGTCCCTTCTGTGTGACAATGTTGGTGTCCTGAAACCCACCTCATATACCCAGGACATATGTTCTTATAGCTGAGTGTCTACAGCATTGATCTATTTGTTTGAGATTCCATTTACTTGCACTGACATTAAAGTAATTACTAGATTATAAATAATTTTAAAACAAGTAAAAATGTTGCTACTGATTTTAGCTGGCAGGTGTAGGAAGAAAAGAAAAAAAGAAAAAGCTGAAAGGCTTTGAGACATTAGCGAGACTACCCCCTAACTGAAGTAGAGCTAGCAACAGTTAAGACAATCTTATCAAGTACATCTTTTACTGTTGATAAAAATGCACCAATGACAGAAACTAAATCTCCTGGTCTCCATATAAAAAATACTCCTCTCTTAAAGCCTAGCCTAACTCTTCCTAAAGATTACAGAAAATGCAGTACTACCTTTTACTTTCAGACCTCCTTTGGTACCAAAGAGGAATGTCTGCCTTCATCTTCTCCTTTCTGGGTTAATTAAAATTATGTGCTTGCCATGTCTTTCATATCAGTGCTTACTAAGCATATTCCCTGGTCCACCATTTGCATTCTTAGTGAACACATTGCAGAGTACAGAACAAACAACATTTAGTCCTCAGGTTCCAACAAATATAAACATCCTTGGCATCCTGCCTGCCCATTTCCACATTTTCAGCTGTGAACTAGTATGGCTTGATAAATGAACAGTAGTGACAAGTTATTGAACTGTGCATAAGTCTTCAGGGAAATACAGACAGGTTCGCATAGCCATGAGGTACTCTGAGCAGGCTGGACATGAAGCAGTGAGATCCATATGCTAGTGTGTATCTGGGTCTGTTGGACACCCAGATCCCTGCACGCATCCCCTGTACTTGTATCTTCCAAGAAAAAAATAACAGCCTGTAAGTTTTATAGCCTAGTTCTCTCCTGAGAGGAGAGAACATCTTCAGTAAGCATAAAAGCTTCATTTTACAGCAGGCCAAGTTTCTGTGTCTCCATCTCTGTGCAGGATATACTACTAATGCTCTCTGCATATATAATGCTTCACCCTTTTACTGAATATACTTGGCTAGAAAATAGCTTCTGATGGAGACATAGGACTGTGTGAAACAGCAATACCACTCCCCACACAGCCAAAAACCTACATTGGTACTGATGCAATTTTGCTAATGCATTTCTAATTAATCTTTAACCAGTGTTGTGCTTTGGCAAGCTGTCACTGCTGACAATGAAACTATCACAATGACACATGGTAGTGTTTAGTTTCTCTTAAGCATTGCAAAATCAAGTTCCTTTTTCAGCCTTAATTTTACAGAATCACAAAATTGTCTAGGTTGGAAAAGACCTCGAAGATCATCCAGTCCAATCATCAACCCAACATTAACAGTTCCCAAGTACACCATATCCCTCAGTGCTATGTCGACCCTACTCCTGAATACCTCCAAGGATGGGGACTCCATCACTGCCCTGGGCAGCACATTCCAACACCTAACAACCCCTTCTGGAAAGAAATGCTTCCTAATAGCCAGATTAAACCTTCCCTAGCACAACTTGAGGCCATTCCCTCTTGTCCTATCGCTTGTTCCTTGGTTAAAGAGGCTCATCCCCAGCTCTCTGCACCCTCCTTTCAGGTAGCTGTAGAGGGCGATGAGGTCTCCCCTCACCCTCCTCTTCTCCAGACTAAACACCCCCAGTTCCCTCAGCCGCTCCCCGTACAACCTGTGCTCCAGACCCTGCACCAGCTCCGTTGCCCTTCTCTGGACACGCTCGAGTCATTCCATGTCCTTTTTGTAGTGAGGGGCCCAAAACTGAACACAGGAATCAAGGTGCGGCCTCACCAGTGCCGAGTACAGGGGTCAGATCCCTTCCCTGTCCCTGCTGGCCACGCTATTGCTGACACAAGCCAGGATGCCATTGGCCTTCTTGGCCCCCTGGGCACACTGCTGGCTCCTGTTCAGCCGGCTGTCAATCAACACCCCAGGTCCCTCTCTGACTGGCAGCTCTCCAGCCACTCCTCCCCAAGCCTGTAGCGCTGCTGGGGGTTGTTGTGGCCCAAGTGCACCCCCCGGCATTTGGCCTTATGGAAACTCCTCCAGTTGGCCTCAGCCTCAGACCTGTCCAGGTCTCTCTGCAGAGCCTCCCTACCTTCGAGCAGATCAACACTCCCACCCAACTTGGTGTCATCTTCAAACTGACTGAGGGTGCACTCGATCCCCTCGTCCAGATCATCAATAAAGATGTTAAACAGGAGTGACCCCAAAACCGAGCCCTGGGGGACACCACTCATGACCGGCCGCCAACTGGATTTAACTCCATTCACCACAACTCTTTGGGCTCGCCCATCCAGCCAGTTTTTTACCCAGCAAAGCGTGTGCCCATCCAAGCTGTGAGCAGCCAGTTTTGCCAGGAGAATGCTGTGAGAAATGGTGTCAAAGGCCTTGCTGAAGTCAAGGTAGACAACATCCACAGCCTTTCTCTCATTATAATAAGCAGGTCGTCCTGTCGTAGAAGATCAGGTTTGTCAAGCAGGACCTGCCTTTCATAAACCCATGCTGACTGGGCCTGATCATCTGGTTGTCCCACATGTGTTGTGTGATGGTACTCAGGATGAGCTGCTCCATCAGCTTCCCAGGCACCAAAGTCAAGCTGACAGGCCTGTAATTTCCCACATCATCCTTCCAACCCTTTTTGTATGTGAGCATCACTCTGGTGGCCAATTTCCAATCTGTCAGGACCTCCCCAGTCAGCCAGGACTGCTGGTAAATGATGGAAAGCAGCTTGGCGAGCACCCCAGCCAGCTCCTTCAGCACCCTCGCGTGTATCCCATCCGGTCCCATAGACTTGTGTGTGTCTGTGTGATGCAGCAGGTCACTGACTGTCTCCTCCTGGATTGTGGGGGGTCGTTCTCCCAGTCTCTGTCTTCTGGCTGAGGAGGCTGGATTCCCTCAGTACAACTGGTCTTGTTATTAAAGACTGAGATAAAGATAAGGCATTAAGCACCCTCAGCCTTTTCCTCATCACTTGCTGCCATATTTCCTCCTGTGTGTAGCAGGGGATGGAGACTCTCCCTGGTCTTTCTTTTGCTGCTCATATACTTATAGAAACATTTATTGTTGTCCTTGACTGCTGAAGCCAGATTAATTTCTAGCTGGGCTTTAGACCTCCTGATTTCTGCCCTGCATAGCCTCACAGCATCTTTGTAATCACTGTGAGTGGCTAGCCCCTTCTTCCAAAGGCTGTAAACTCTCCTTTTCTCCCTGAGTTGCAGCCAATGCTCCCTGTTCAGCCAGGGTGGTCTTTTCTGCCGCCAGCTTCTCTTAGAGCACCTGGGGACCGTCTGCTCCTGAGCCATTAACACTTCCTTCTTAGAGAGTGCCCAGCCTTCCTGGACCCCTACACCCTTCAGGAGAGTCTCCCAAGGGATCCTGTCAAGCAGGTGCCTAAACAAGACAAAGTCAGCCCTTTGGAAGCCCAGGATGTCAGTTCTGCTGTCCCCTCTCCTTACCTCTCTCAGAATAGAGAACTCTATGATTTCATGATCTCTGTGCCCTAGTCAGCCTCCAACTGCCATATCATCTACCAGTCCTTCTCTGTTCAGAAAGAAGAGATCTAGCAGGGCACCTTCTCTAGTCTGTTCAGGAATTTATCTCCCACACATTCCAGGAATCTCCATGACCGGTCCCGCTCTGCTGTGTTGTATTTCCAGCAGATGTCTGGGAAATTAAAGTCTCCCACAAGAACAAGGGCAAGTGATTGTGAGATTTCTCCTAAATGCCTATAGAGTATTTCATCCACCTCTCTGTCCTAGTTGGATGGCCTATAACAGACTCCCACTACAACATCTCCCCTTTTGGCCTTCCCCCTAATTCTAACGCAAAGACACCCCACCCTGTCTTCACTACACTTGTGCTGAAAGCAAACATAACAGTCCCTAACATACAGCGCCACCCCATCACCTCTCCTTGCTTGTCTATCCCTCCTAAAGAGCTTGTAACCATTAACTGGCACACTCCACTCATGGCAGACATCCCACCATGTTTCTGAGCCACTACCTCATAATTTTCAAGCTGCATCGCGGCTTCAAGCTCATTCTGTTTGTTACCCATGCTGTGTGCATTGGTATGCAAGCACTTCAGATGGGCTGATATTTTGCCCCCTTCCCCCTTCAAATCTAGTTTAAAGCTCTGTCAATGAGCTCACCTAACTCCTGCCCCAACATCCTTTTCCCCCTCAGGGACAGGTGCTTTCCATCCAGTGCCAAAAGGTCTGGTGTCCTGTATACCAACCCATGACTGAAAAATCCAAAGCTCTGATGTAACACCAGTCTTGGAGTCACAAGTTCATAGTACATTTTTTGAACTATTGATGCCATGGAGAAAAAAGTGCGATTCTTCATTTTATACTCACCCTTCATAGGACACTGTCATTCCTGCTACCACATGGTTCTCACAGCCAACAAAAAAGTGCAAGAGAGTGGTGACATAGGACAAAAATGACATGATAAATGCAAACTTGGTTGCTCCAGTGATGCCCATTTTGTACTTTTTCATTATCAACCCTCCTAGGAAAATCCCAACACCTACAGGAGGTAAGGATGTCAATCCTGAAAGATATTATAGAAGGGGATTGTTAAAATAAAAGAGTCACAATGGGCTTAAGAGACAAATTCTGTCCTCAGATTGATGTCCCTGACAGCTTTATGTTCTATTATGATGACTGTAATTGGCTCTGTGCTCAGCCTAATCCTTGGGTTGCATATGCTATTTTTGAAGTGTCCACTTCCATTGTAAGGCACTTGTTGGTTGTTGCAACAGTTAAAACTCCCACACCACATTCATTACATATTTGGGGTGCTCATGCTATAATATAATATAACATAAATACTGTAACATAACATAATATAATGTCATGTCTTATGATGTCATGTCATAATATAATATAATATAATATAATATAATATAATATAATATAATATAATATAATATAATATAATATAATATAATATAAATTTCTTCTGCTCGCATAGGCACCAAAATTGTAGTTTGTATGCTGTGTTTATATAATTCAAGTTCATGAAAGACCAGCATTTACATCATTCTGCTCTGATCAGTCCCAGACAAGGCATTCTAGATTTATCCCCAAGCACTGCTTATAGCATAAGCAGTCATTGCACAGTGTAACTCACCTATTAGAAAGTTAGATTTAGATGTAGATTGTCCATACTGCTGTTCCATGTACTTTGCTTTGTAAGTGAATAAACCAATAAAGCTATTGAACTGTAACAGTGAGCAACACAAAAATGTAAAGTACATTCGATTACTCAATACTTTTTTCAGGGAGGTATAGAAATCTGAAAGAAAGGGATAATAGAGTTGTCTTTGAAAAATGCATGTCATAATTACTGGTGAGTAATCTACAAAATTTAGGGCAAAATCCTTCTTTCAGCTGTCCAAGTGCAAGTCATTTGCATGCAAGTATCTAAAAGCAAAATCAGGTTCTTGAGAAACACCAGAGGCTGAGATACAGGAAGAGAATCCTAAAAGAAGACAGAAGCATGGGTTAAGGCCTGGGTGCTCTAATGAGATCTGCACATAAAATGCTCCACTGAGCAGAGACTTTCAGTTTACATTGATATTATCACAGATTCAGGGCTAAGTGAGAGCTGTCTTCTCAGTAAGATGTGAATAAAGACAGGACAATTTGACTAATGATGCAGTCATCTCTTCCCACCACCTTTCCACTCCTTTCTTAGCCTAAGGACTGCACAACCAGAGCTGATATTCAAGCCTGCTGTATTTTCCTCAGGCAGAAATGTGCTTTAGCATCCCCATGAGCTCTATGATGATCAGATTAATAATTTGGCTTTGCATATTGCAAAAGGAGCCTTCTAATATTTTCTGTATGTCCTGATACAGAAACAGTTTTCCCACTGTTCAAATTTCTTCCAGCACAAAATTTTAGAGGTTAGGTGCCACTGAGGCAATTATGCAATGCAGGTGATGCATGCAGAACCTCACAATCTTGAACAAGCTTTCTGATTTTTTGTAACCTTTAGCAGACATCTCCTTTCCTGGGATTAGTAAACTGGTTTAGACTGAAGTGCAGGGGAAGAAAAATATTTTTCAACAATATTACATCCCCACTGTATGTTGTGCCTATTGCTTTTTACAGTTATGTAACATGTGCAACACTTGCCTTTCAGTATTACTGACCACTTCCTTCGCTTGGACTGTGCAGGAGTAAGTTTCTTCCTCATGTTTTCCAAGAGATCGTATGAAGTTTTGTCATTGGCTTCCTCTGGCTTTTTCAGACTCCTTGGCAGGAAGCAAAATGGAATAGCAGCTAGGAAACTGGTTACTCCACCTATTAAAAAGCCAAGCCACCATGCACCCACCCAGCGTGAATCCTGTGGGGTGATAGTGATACTTCCTAGAATTGAGGGAAAGAGATACATTACCTAAATGAAGAAGTTGAACTTTCCCACCCTGTATCTGCTAAAATAGCTACATTTTACAGTGTCTGGCTTGCAGTGATAATGATAATCTTCTAATGAGAGACCACTCATGCAGTGAGGGCATCAGGAAACATACCTTGAATGATGTTTCATCTGCCTTTCTACACCTTACACTGGCTGCTGTTTTGTGGCATACATGGTGATACAGAGGTCTTTATTCAACACATAGGAAACCAACATAGGTGGCAGACAGGCCCCAAGCCTGGAGCCCTTTTAGGGCTGATACATTTCTACTGAGACCATCCTCTGATAACCTGAATCGTGTAGGTTGCTATTAAACATACGGGCATTCTCTGTGGCACTGGTAAGATGACCATGAGTTTAAACTTTGTATTGCAAGGTAGATGAGACTAGTTGCTTGTATTTTTATGATTGTTACATGTTGCCATGTTTGGTGGTGGATCAATACTATAAGACTTTTCCGTGCATGACCAGAATTGGCTCATTGTCACCTTACACTTAAGTAAAATCAAACATTTGGCTTAACAAAGGGCAAAGACAAAATAGTAATCTGTCTATCTACAGGATCCTGAAGATCTGAAAACTTCTCTGTCCTGCTAGTAAAACAGGATCACCCACTGCTGCTGCTACAGTGAACTTTTTCTTAAAAAAAGCCATCACCAGTCCATACCGTCTAACTCCATATCAGGGTGGTCAGGTGGGTGGGGTGGTGGGTTGGCCAGGAAACACCACCTCAGAGATGGCTCCTGCCTATTCCAGTGAAAGTGAACAGGATGAAGGACCACAGCTGCCACTTACAGGGATTGCTCTGCTCCCTCTAGCATTTTGCAGATGTGAATACATACGTGTGTTTTCTTTTCATGTGAATAAGAAGTCAGAAAGTGTATAATGTACTGTAAACATTACATGAATTGTAAATAGTGTAAACCACTCAGCTGAAAGGGTGGGTAATCCACTAAAACTGTAAACCTGCTATGTTAGCAGAATCTTTTCACTAAGATCCCAGTTTAGTAAACCATCTTGGGTCTGTGAGAGTTCTTGGTAGTAATTTTTGAAGCTAAACATGTATTTTAATCTCTTAATCCTAAAATATCTTGCCTGTCTAATGCTGCCTATACCCAAAAAGCTTCCAATCATTTAATTAAATTGTAATAAAACATATAATAAAATTAATGAAATAAATATAAAGTATATTAATATATTTAATATAATAAAAACTTATGCAACTGTGTAAAGTAACCTGTTACGGGCAAGTATTAGCTTACTTTCACTTTTCCTCTGTTTTGCTTACCTAAATCCACAAATCCAATATCCACGTACAGTTTTGCACATAAAGATCCCAACAGGAAACCAAACATTGGGCCCAACATGGCTATTGTGTGCAAACATGCTGAAAATATAATGAAGCAGATGATAGTACATTTTAAGGGCTGAATGTTTTCTTCTGCAGAGGATGATCAACCTCTCACACTACAAATTGCTTAGTTTACTTCGTGTTGAGATTACCTACATACACAGGAACATCCTCTTCTTTAGCAAAATCATCAAGATAAGAGATCCCCAATGGTGTTATTGGTGTCTCACCAATTCCACGTAACATGTTTCCCAGTAAAATGTATATCCACATATGTGATGATGGTTCCTTCTCACAGCCTGCAGATAAGAGTTTACATCTTTGTAATAGAATAGTTGAATAGGAAACAGTGACAAATCACAGGAAATTCAACACATGAGATTATCACAGTTTAGTATTTAAGGTATTAACAGCATTTTCCTATGGAAGATTAATGGAAGGAAGGCCATCAATCTCAATATACCTTTTAATATTTTAATAACACTTTCCTCCACTTCTACTATATTTGATTTCAAAAATACAGATAAGTGTTACACATCAGAAAAAAAAAAAAAAAGTTAAAAAAAAAGCGCAAATTGATATTGTCATAAATATATTACCTGGCATATAACATATATCTTTAATGTTTGAGATGGTTTCTGGGGCACAGCTTGGCTCTTCCTCTACCTATATTCCATGCAAAGCAACAGGTAAACCAGCTGTATACCATATTATAAACAAGATAATAGAAATCTCCATTTATTTCCAGTTAACTCTGTGCTGTTATATGTCCTGTCACACTATCTCTTCCACCTCCCCAATTCCAGGTCCTGGGAAATTCAATCCCTTCAAACACAGTCTCAGAACCTCCTTCAGTGTTAGAGTGATTTTGTTGTCATTTGGAAGTGTGAACACAGGAAACTGGGGATCTGGATCCTTATAATTTGTGTTTGCTGGACATTTCTTCTCCAAATGAGATGCACAAACTGCATATAAGTGTTGGTAATCTTCTCAGACAGCTAGATATTGAAGTTAGAAATCTCATCGAGCATCTTGCATGGGGCAATGATTTACTCCACTTGCAACCAAGGATAAAATCAGCTCCTGTATTTGTACTCACACTTACAGTTCCTTACCTGATTGGGACACTTCCAACAAAGTTTCGTTCACATCTTGATGTAGGGAACAGGGATTTATGCTTGAAGTTAAGTTGGCTGAAGTAGCTGTATGTGATGTTGTCTCATACTTATAACTGAAAACACACAATAGTAGCTTTAGAAGGAATGTTCACTACTGAAATACTAACATAGTAGGGCAGGACCCTACATGATTGCTGCTTCCCTAAAAAGAAATGTATCTTTGTTTAAATAGCAATACAAAGTGCTACTGAAGGAGCAAAAAATATTATTTAGGCACATTTTGGAAGACCAAAACACTGAAATGAAGAACAAATAAAAGATAGAAACATCTATCTAAAAGACATAACATTTTAATCTGGAAAATTCTAAAGGGCTTCCAAAAGTAGTTCATATAGGATTGAACTTTTAGTGTCAAAATTTAGGGTCAGGTCCAAGTGAGTTCCTTGTGCTGACCCCACAGTCAAGGAGAAAAAGAAGAATTTAATGAGTGTAAGTGTAAATCTCCCTTTTCACCTTAGATCTATATTTTCGGGAAGTGGAAGAGGAGTGAAAAGTCATCCTCGAGTGTTACCTGTTTGCCTGATAATTGGCACTGGCTTTAGAAAGAGCTGTTATATAGTAGCAGGTGGCTAAAGTTAGTGCTAAAAGACACTCTTTAGCTGTATTTACAGGGAGCAGGACAATGCTGTGGGGAGGCAGCTGAGCAGCTCAGGTGCTAGGAGATGTTCGGCTGCTTTAGCATGATTCTTTTTCCAGATATGAGCCCTGCTGAGGTGCAAAGTACAATTAGCTTAAGCAGAACAACATGGTAAAGCACACATTCTGCTTCTAGGAACTGGGCTGGCTCTGTTAGACCAGACAGGCTTATTTTTCAGTATGGAACAAAGAGCATTCATCAGAATATACAATGCAGAACAGTTACCCCATAAAAATTCAAGCCTACATTCATGAGGAACTGTTTGAGTTTCCCAGTGTAGGTGGCCAAGATACATATTTTGGCTTAAGCAGTGGAAAATAGAAGTCTGACGTTAGTACAAGAACCACTATCACAATAAAAGGCATTCCTCAGTTTTCTTTTTACAGTAGTATACCTAAAATTGTTCTAATGCATTTAAGAGAGCAACAGAACTATGTCTTACTATATATGCTATCACCTTATTAAAGCTACAGCTAGAAACATTATTGCATACAAGCAACATACATTAGTCCTCTGAGCGTGGAGAAGACAAATAAACATTTGCTTAACCAGCTATGGAAAATCACTTTAATCAGTCATGTGCATTTGGAACAGGAAAAACCCTGGGACCAGTTCTACCAGCACTGATCCATCTGCAGGTTCTGTGTGAAGCTGAGAGGCTGCTTTGCGTGAGGAGTAGCTGTTTGCCACAGGAGAGAAAAATGTGTCATCTTACACAACAAGGCTCTGGTTTCTTCTTTCAAGAAGCATGATTTCTTTTAATCAACAACTCTGGGGGTTGGTTTCTTTACTGAGTAGGCTCTGAATCCCTGACTTTACATGAGAGCTACCTGTTACTATAAATAATTTTTCAGATAAAGATGTCACTCAGTATGAAATTACCCACTCAGAGCTTTGAGATCCCGTTCAAAACAGCACAGACTTATTCTGGAAATCATATAGGTGGATTCTATATTCCTCATAATTTTACTGTAGTTCACAATGGCTTGACTTTCCTGCCTATATGATCCTGACATCTCTATTAGCCACCAACGATGCCACATTCTTAGGTTAAAACTGATTTTCCCAATAAGGTGTCCTTACAGTTTGTAATTTAGGAAGAATATATTTCATTAAAGCAATATCACCAGCATAGTAGCATGGTTAAAGATTTTCAAAGAACAATATATTTTGTTTGAAATTTGAATTTTCTTAAGATTTTCATAGGTGTTTCCTCCTGAAAAGGTAAATTCTAATGATTTTGTAAAATCATTTCCTTCTTTGCCTTCCTTCTGAACAAGCCTTACTGAAAACTAAAGCACTGTAATTTTCCTATTTTTTTGAGAAGTTGAACTTTTACTTCAAAGGAGTCATATTTTTACAACAAGTTATCATGAACAGTAATATGTGTGTCAAGCATGATTCATCGCACATTGAGGTTAAGCTCTGTAGGCCTTTGGAAATCTAAGACTTAACATACACCAAGTTGCATTCAAAATCCAGAAAGCAGTATCCAATTCCAATGTTAGGTTACCCAAATTAATCTTGATTAATACTTACTATCCCATGAAGAAATGAGGCATTGCTGTTAAAAGACTTCCCAAAGCCATAGTAAAACATCCAACAGCTATTACTTTGGGCCTATGAAGTTTAGCTCCAAAGTAGCTTACAAATGCTATCACCAGCAAGTTACCTGGAAGGTAATAAACCAAAATTAGTGCCACATGCTGTGCCTTGTCTTTCTCTGAACATTTTTCTGCATGTTATGGAATATCAATTACCTATCTCAAAGCTCCCATCGATGAAACCAACAGTAGATGATGTCAGGTCAAACCTTCGTTCAATCTGAGTGATGGAACTTTTCATAATTGTACCAGACAATGTTTTACTCAAGTAGCTGAATGATAAAGCAGCGAGAAATGCCTGAAGAAAAAATGAGACAGAAAATGGGAGGAGGCAAGGAAACTGGTCACAGAGGGATCAAATATGTTCAAAATTGTGTGGAGCAATCATGGTATACATTTGTTACTCAAATTGCAGTGACAACGCTGTGTGTGAATTTTCATGTATCTTAATGTAACAGAGTGCCAGGGAGGTCTCTCAGCAATGTCTGCCCCTGGTCTGGAATTCCCTGGTGGAGGGGATCGGTGCTAGGTGCTGCCCTGAGAGCATCTGCTTGCTTTAGGGGTCAGTTTGTAATAGCCATCTTAATGACCAGAAAGCACTGTTCTTCCCTGCATTGCTGGCCAGAGGCTTTCCAGAGCAGAAATCCTATGGACTGTGGAACTTAAATTTGGCAAACAACTCACTGGGGATTACTTACCTTACTGACATCCTGTGGTTAAATTTATCAAAAAGCCGAGGCCTGATCCTGTGTAGTCAAAATAGTGGGATTACTAGATGTTGTAGAAGTATAAAATTTGCCAGAGGTAAAATACCTAATTAAGATAGATTTACTACTATCCAACCTAAAACTAATCTTAGCACCAATTATCTTCTGCTTGGGCCACATGTCACTTATTTTAGGACAGTTTATAACTGATTCTAACTCAAACATATAGATAGCCATGGCATCAAAATAAAGGCTTTATGCACGTTTTTATGATAACACAGTATGTAGAAGGTGGTACAGACTGATTGTGTTCATCTCTCAGGTGATAGATCTTGAAATCTGTGGGTCATGGCTATGTCCACTGTATACTATATACCTCATAAGGGAAAACTTAATATCCTTTATAATTTTATAGTTGATTCCACCAACACACACCGTGGTTTTTGCAAATAAAGATGTATTTGAAAAAACTTAAACTAAGTTTGCTTAAATATTATCCAACTATTTCAACATAGTCTAAAAAACAAATACACATTGCTCACTGGGTAAAAGTTCCAATACAACACAATGTTGGGTAAGTAAACAAAAGTAAATATAGATTTAGACTTTGCAATACTATCTACTGTAAGGAAAGAAATCAAAGAAATATCTGACAAGTCCTGATATGTTTTGTATTTCCTGAGCCTCACTGGCAAAAAAGTCTGTGCAAACCACATTTCTTGCCTTATGCCAGCAGTGTTTTCAGGGATTTTGGCTGAAATCACAAACTGCAGATACTCAGGAAACAGAAACAAAAATGACTTGGGTATTTTGTGTTTAAAAATGTAATCCCCAGGTAAACCACAAAACATTTACTAGGAAGGTGAGGGAGAATAAAAGTTTGTCTTACCTCCAAGATATTTTGTCTATTAAAATTTATTTGCCATAAAGTTAGACATGGTCATGGTCATGCAGCATTGCACAGATACATGATGTCAAAGTTAGTCCTGTAAATCTCACAGAGAGATCAGATTCTCTTTTTGCAGGTGTATATGGGCGACAAGTGTGAGTCATATAGAATGAAAAATATAACAACCTTTGCCTGATACTTGGGCCAAACTATTCTGGATATTTGAGAAGCTTGCAATTACCTATTTTTTTCCACTAATCTTTCATTTTACAGACCTTTTTATAGAGACAATTGTCTCTCTAATTGCAACTCCAGTGAATTTATGGAATTTAACCTGAGATGAAGCTGGCCTAAGAAGTAGTCAAAACATAAACCCAAACACATCATTGTCAAAAGAAATCTTGTCCTTGAGTATTTGCAGCTCAGCTAGAAGTAATAAATACTAAGGCTAAGGCTTAAAAGCAACAAAAAAGCAACATTCTCTTTAGTTTACTTGCTCTGTCCCATCAATTCTTCTTGTGCACTCCGGAAAGTTTGGATGCTTGTGGGAATCAGTGGGTCATTTGACCTACAGCCCTTGATTAGATAAAAGTCCTGGAATACAATTTACCTCACCCCATTTTGGGTCTACAAGAATGGGTAGTGATAGCAACTTCCAGACAACAGTATATAATAACACCTATTTTAGGATGCTTCAGATCTTCCACTGGAGGTTGCTACCTCTCTCCAGTGACAAAAAGTGTGATCTACCTATGAGTAACTTTAGAGTAAATATGTTAAATCGGGAATTTTTATTTCCTTTAGGACAAAGACAAGATCCAACCCTTCCCTGTATCTCCACTGTGTATTCAGTACCAGAAAAGAGGGGGAAAGGTAACAAAGTAATCTGTCATGTTTTATCTTGAACCACATTTCTTAATATAGGACAACAATAATTTGTGGTGATGTTGATAAGGCACCAAACCTTCAAGCCAGTGCAACAGGAAGTCTTCTTTTTGACTGGTGGATTTTTGTTTGCTTCATCATCCAAAAGCTGGACAGGTTCTACTTCCTGATTTGAGTCATCAGCATTGCTGGATTCAGTTTCCACTGTCATGGTTGATTTCTTTACTGAGTGATCTGAACCCAGGAGAAAACAATGATAAGTACAAAAGCAAATATGCCAAAATAGAGTTGCTTAAGGAGCTTCCTCATGAAACAGTAGTTACAGGAAAATGCTGAGATGTTGAAACTGAATCTTTTCATTAGTAAGGGTTTGGCTTAATGACTTGGATGTTTCAAAGTGTATATTTGTTTAAATTTTGAAGTATCTTGTTTTGACATCTTTCTTTCAAGCGAAATGGTCTTCACTCTCCCCACTGGTCCTCACTTCTTCCCCTCCCC